GAGCACAACACGTATACCTCACCTCGCCACCACCTAATTCGATCATTCTTTCTCGTCATCCCCTCAGCTCATACCAGCTCATACCAGCTCATACCAGCTCATACCAGCTCAAACGAGCAAGCAAGTGTGAGTGGCCTCCAAGCACCCAGCATGTACCGCAGACACTGACAACACACCAGATGCATTACACCACCTACCCCCTCATCTGGATCACCCTCCTCAGCGCCGCCTGGTGTCAATGGTCCAAACTCTTCATCAGCCAGCCAGCCTTCACCAACCACCCGTGGCCCTCCATCCTCCTCGAATCGCCCGAGTTCGGCCCCACCGGCTCCTACCTCGACATCGACCACACACGCGAGGGCGCAGGCAATTTCCCCGCCCTATCCTGGCCCTATCCATCCGGAACGGCCGTCCAAGAGTACATCCTCCTCTGCGAGGACCCCGACTCCCCAACCGCTGAAGCCGTCATCTCCCCGCCCTATCCTGGCCCTATCCATCCGGAACGGCCGTCCAAGAGTACATCCTCCTCTGCGAGGACCCCGACTCCCCAACCGCTGAAGCCGTCATCCACGGCCTGTTCTATGGGATCCATCGCGCGACGACCGGGGTGCAGAACCCAGATTTCTTTCTCGACCAGTCGCAGACCGAGCCGTTCATGCTGCGGGGTGGATTCAAGTACGGTCAGAATGGAGGGAATAGTGTGTACTTCGCCCCGCTGGCGCCCCGAGGCCAAGGGCCGCATCGGTACTTCTTCGAGTTGGTGGCATTGAATGAGACCTTGGACCAGCAGGGTCTCAGTTCGCCGGCGAGGATTGAGGAGATTATGCGCGCGATTGAGGGGAAGGTGGCGGGATGGGGCGCTTGGATGGCATTGTCTCAGAGAGCTTAACGCATGATCCGAACCGGATGGAGATCGTTATTCGTTGTTGTGTTGCACAGTGTGCTTTGGGTCGTTCATCGTCGTTGGTGTCGTTGTTGTTTTTTCATGGATTAACCCACAATCATTTGTAATACCTGGAGACAGGCATTGGGAGCACCTGCTATCAAGAAAGTGGTACGACCACAGTTCACTCGATGGGCTTCGCTCTGATCTTCACTTTCATGTCTTACATGGAGTAGTCGTGGACGTCATCGTCGAAAGTCGGCATTCTTTCTGCGTCGACTAGGGCCGGCTAGCTTCCAATTGTCCGATAATTATAGTATGGACTATTTGGGCGAACGACCCGACTTTGGCTTCATTTCTTGACCGTTTGGTCGAAAACAAACTTCTGTTCGTATTGTGTCTGGTAGAAGAGGCAAAATGACTGCCCGGCTGTCTCCAAGATTAGCACAGGGATAGGGGCGCTAGTCCAGTCCCGGTAAGGGTCAGCCTCACTGTGCTGATTAGAGCCAATCAGAGATGGCCACTGATGCTTACGCTGCTCAGAATAGCAGATCTGATCCAACATAGCTAGCCGTTCTGGGACTAGAGCCAAATGTAATAAGAGCTAAGCCCCTTTAGCCCTTCAACGGATGCGGAGGGGGGTTTCGGCGCTCGGGAAGCTGTAACAATGACAGCCGGTCTGTCGATACTGCAAGGTGAAGAGGCATCAAATGATGCCCCCAAAAAAAATCAATTTGATCACAGGGTGAATGAATCTTGATGAACTTCAAAGAAATGGAGCAGTTGTTGATGTAAGTGGATAGCAATCGACAGGTACCGAAGATGGTCAGGCACACTTCCTTGGCAAATTGGCCACCTGGATGGTAGTGCCGATAGTCCGCGAACGGTGGCAGAGGAACGGACCAAGTGGCCCAGTTCGGGCTTCTTTTTCCCCCCTGGTGCCTGATAGACCCAGCACAAAGACTCCTGTGCTGAAAGAAAAAAAATAAAATCCATACTGAATACTTTGCCCCAGAGCTCGATTTCTTTGTCCTCGGTAGAAATATCATGTGGTCAAATCCGAGGTCTTGATGGAGATGACTGCTCGGTTGTGAGCGGTAAGGTGGGGTAAAACCGTAAAGCAACACGACTGATCTCATGGTGTTGTCATTATTCGGCTTATCGACCTGGAGTTCTTCGGATTTGTCTCAGCGGTCGGGATCGTCCGCTCCAGCCTGACTGGCCGCAACAACTGAAACATTCTTCCCTTTTCAAGCCAGTGAGGTTAAATTCAATGCCGACTGTTCGCGATGACACCATGACACCAATCATCAAAACAGTCTGCCTGCCAATCAGTGTCTGTCCGAGGTGGTATACACACAGATTGTGAGACACACAACCAAAGCCAAAAATGCATGGCTGCCGTCTTACACCCTCTCTGTAGGTAATAGGTGGGTTAGGAAATCCAGGCGAGCTGGTGTGTGCATTGGCCCAATTGCCGGTGTTCACGGCTGGCGTTGACCTCGTACAATCGGTCGAGAAGCCATGACTCCCACGGATTGCATCCGGATACTTTTGTTGCTTTTTTAAGGGCATTTTATCGCGACCGGAGGGGATAGGCTATGCATCGCCGCACTTGGGTAGAACCATGGTGCAAGATGCATCTGGGTAACCTTGTTCCTTTCTCTATCGCTCTCTCTCGTTAAAATGCCTTTACCACCTGGATGTTGTTGCTTCCTCCTTTCCTTCTATGATAATAACTCCTTTCTTTCTATGATGGTAACAAAAAATAAGGCACCATCTTGTGATTCGATCTTCTAGCGTCTTTCCACTCGTTGATCCACTCACTGGCTCCGCAAGTCCGAGCTAGACCTGCCTTGTTTTTTCTTTAGTACGTATTCTTTTTTTTCCTGCTCTTTCTAGCCTGCCTGGCGATCGAGGTTTCTTATTTTTTTTTTTTCTTCTTTCTCTCTTTTGCCTGCTACTATTTATTCACTGGCGGCGCAGCAGAACAAGCCTTGTCGGCCATTTGTTTCACTCTCATCTCGGGTGGCTTGCAGTTAATCAATCACCTGCCAACCGTTACTATAATCAATTATTGCCAGCCCACTGTTGCAGGACGCACCCACACGCACCGTACTGTACTCAGCCCAGTACTTACTCATACATATCTGCAATCCCACGGCCGCTTAAGATCAGCCTGCCTGGCCTCTCTCTTCCGCTTCCGTCTCCTTCCCCTCTTCAACGACCTTCGAGTATTACCCTTTTGGGAACTCCAACCAAGTGAACGACCACTTTTTCTCTCGCTTCGATCCCCTGAACCTTCGTTTCTTCAACTTCAAACAAATCCCACCCGATCAATAAGACGTTGAATTTTCCAACTGAGGCGCCATGGCGTTGTCAACTCGCCTGCTCCAACTGCTTCTCTTATCCCTGATCGCCTTATCTGCGATTGCAGCCCCGGCCGCCGATCAGTCCGAATCCGACGCCCCATCGGTTGCCGACAGCATCGAAGAGACATCCCTCCACAAGGCTCTGCATCTGTTCCAGAGGTTCAGCCACGGCATCTTCCAGTCTGACGAGAAAGCTGCCGCAGCTCTCCAGCAGGAGGATCCGTCGTTGGCTGAACACTTGAACCTGGTCAAGCGAGCGGATGGCAACTCGACGGCTGCGGTAGAGACGACGAGCCAGGCCTCGGAGCCGGCAGCGACCACTTCTGCCGCCGCGGCAGCGACCACCGCTTCGCAGGCTGAGAGTTCCACCAGCAGTGCGCAACAGCCCACCACTGCTGCGGAAACTACCGCCGCTCCTACGACCACTGCTGCCCGCACGACCGCTGCGAGACCTACGACTAGCTCTAGCAGCAGTGAGTCCAGCTCTAGCAGCAGTGAGTCGAGCTCTAGTAGCAGTGAGTCTAGCTCCTCGTCTCCGTCCACGTCTTCTTCTTCCTCTTCTGCCTCTACGGCGACCACCTCGTCGACCTCTTCCTCCTCGTCGTCTGCCACGGCGACGTCGACCTCTACTACTACTACTTCTTCGTCCACTTCGTCTACATCTTCGTCCTCGTCCTCTTCTCACACCACCGCAGCTAGTACCACGATCCCCACCGTCGCGGCCACTACTACTACTACCTCTACTTCTGCTACTTCCACTACCACTAGTACCACTTCATCCAGCTCACATACTACCGCAGCTCACACGACCTCCACCACCTCAACAACATCCACCTCCTCGACCTCCTCGTCCTCCACTACATCCAGATCCACATCCACCACCTCGACCTCGACCTCCACCACCCTCGAAACCACCACCTCCACCACCTCCACCTCCTCCTCCTCAACCAAGGACTCCCAAACCACAGACGACAGCTCCACCACCAGCGCCAAGACCACCCCCTACACCTCCACCTACAAGCTGACCACCACGCTCCCCAACGGCCAGCAGAGCACCGTCACCGCCATCACCGTCATCCACCCGACCGAGACCGCCCACGAGGTCGCCACCGGCACCCGCGGATCCCCGAGTCTGCAGACCGACAACGGTGCCGCGACCGCGCACGGTCTGGGCCGGGAGCTGTTCGTGATGGTCGGTGGAGCGGCCGTGGTGGCTATGGCTCTGTAAAGACAAAAGCAAACCACCTCCCCTAAATCATCTGAATACTATATCTCTCCCAGCAAATGCATTTTCCGGCGTTTTTTTGTTTCTCTGCTAGCTTTTCAGCTGCCCCCATGATACCTCTCACCATGTTACGATCCTTTTGATGCAAAACGAAACACACACGTGAACCTGAACCTGAACCTGGCAAAGCATACATTACTTGTTTATTTAGCCTGGCGTATTCCCACATTTTGTCTCTCCTTTAGCGCATTCTGATTTCTGTTTTTACACCTGGGTTGGGGAGGAGAGGAGGGTTGAGGGGAGATGTTGTTCAATGCGTGTGCATACTTTAGACAGGTTGTCTTCGATCATTGATTTCAGGGGGTCGCTTCTGGTGGTGACTCCTTGATCACGGATCATTCGAACATAATTTGAGACTGTTTCGTTCTCTCAGTTGTTTCAGGCTATGGAAAATTGTAGTGCTTAGGTCGTGAAAAATGGGTATTCTGAACGTAACAACATGGCTCTAATGTGGTAACATGACTTGCCCCTACTTGCTTGCTGTCACTTTGCACGTGATGGGTAGGCTAGCTAGGTACCTACCTAGTAGCTAGCTCTGTACAAACCTACCCGATAGCAAACAACAGTATAGATAGGTGTAGATGTCGCTATAGACATGGTGATAATCCCCTCCCTCTTATCTGTTTGCGTCCCCTCACCCGGAACGGACACGGTTTGATAATCCACAAACGACGCGCCGCATCTCTTGTTGCATGATGCGATCATTCAACCTAGACTCTCACCTCCAGTCCAACGAGCATATACCCCAAACAACCTCCCTCAGTCCACACAAGTATATTGCCTACTTCGGCACCCACCGCTCCTCCTCCGTCCAGAACCGCACCACGCTCTCCCACGCGGGGATATCGCCGTCGCGCAGCAGGGCGGCGACGTCGACGTTGAGCGGCGATTCCGGGCGCGGATCCGTCAGCAGCTGGTGGATGGCGGTGAGGGTCGAGGAGAGGGTGTAGACGGGGCTCCAATGCTCGGTCGTCAGGAGGGTGAGGCAGATCTCGCCGGTGGTGAAGGAGATGTTGGGGTGGCTGATGCGGGTGGTGAAGCGGATGGTGGGCGGGGTAAGCGGGTAGGATGGGGGGATGGTAATGTGGAGGGACCAGAGGCCGCCTATTGAGATTCTTAGATTTTGCAAAGGGTGTGGGGGAGAGCTGAGTGAGGGCTGTCGGAAATGCGGAGGGGCGCGGGGGAGAGGGAGGAATGAGGGTTTGCTTACCTTCGTATGGAGTGCCCTTTACGCCTTTCAGGACGGCTTCCCAGTGGAGGAGATCATCCTCTTCGATGGGCCCGAGATGCAGAAGAGCTTCATTGGGGTTGTTGGTGTAGTCCTTCAGTTCCCGGAGGAGACGCTGGGTGGTGTTGTGCGTTGCCATTGTCTCAGCTTCTCATGTGCGGAACGAGCTGCTGCTGCTGGCTGCTGGCTGGCGTGGTTGGTGAGTGGCCGGAATGCGGTGGAATGCTCGGCGTCGCTGACTGAGCGTCGCTGACTGAGCGAGGGGTTTGCCCTTAGTGCGTGTGGAGGACGTGTGAAATTGACCGTGTTCTTTTTTGAAAGGGAAAACAAGTCTCTGCGATCGCTGCGTGTCTCTCAAAAATAGTCCCTCACCAACAGACACATTCCTCCAGGATGTGACACAGCGGGTGGCTGGCACTGCACTCAAATGGAGCTGAAGCGGAAAGAAAATACCGAGGCTCAAGTCGTGGGTCTTCCCCATTCAGTAGCGCCGGGTGCCAGTCTTCTTCCCGTGGTCTGGACTGGGCATTCCTTGGACTGATGGGGCCCTAACAAATTTTATTGATGCTTAGCCACCGTCTTTTCATGTGAAAACGAAAACGACATCCATCTTTCACCTTTCATCTTGATAACCAGCAGCGTTACATCCATGCGCACCTCTCGCACAGCCAAGGAGACGGCCAGAGTCGTTCAGGCCCTGTCGCCCCCTGGCCGTCGGCAAACACGCAGCTCATCGGCTCATGCCAGTGTGCTGCGCAGTTTTGCCTTCAACGGTGGCTCCAATGCATCTGCGTCTGCATCTGCATCTGTGCCTGCGTCTGCGGAGGCAGTGAGCGACGACGATGACACGTCGTCGCTGTCATCGGTTCCAACTGTCGATATCGAGGATATCTTGGAGCCTCCTGCCAAGCGGCGGAAGAGCGCGTTGAGCGCCCCTTCGGCCCGCGGCTCGCGGACTCGTTCTGCGCGCACGCCTGCAGATGCTACCCAGACATCCCTTAAAGTTGAAACCACTGTCAAAGAGGAGGTTTTTGAGAAGCCTGCGGCCAGATCCCGCCGCGTGCCTGCCCGGAAGGTCAAGGTCGAGGATGGCACCTACACGGTAGAGCCTCCGTCCAACTGGGAGACCATCTATACCACCGTGAAGAAGATGCGCGAGGACAATCCGACCGCCCCAGTCGACACTATGGGCTGCGCTGAGCTCTATTGGCGCGCGTCGTCGCCTCGAGATCGCCGCTTCCAGACCCTCATTGCTCTGATGCTGTCGTCGCAGACCAAGGATACGGTGACGGCCGTGGCCATGCAACGATTGCACACAGAGCTTGGGGATGGACCTCCAGTTGTCATCAAGGCCGAGCCCAACGACGACAACTACGATAGCAAGGCACTAGAGCCTATGCAGGACAGCACTCTGAACCTGGAGAATATCCTGGCCGTATCGCCGGAACGGTTGAACGAGCTGATTCGCACCGTGGGCTTCCATAACAACAAAACCAAGTATATCAAAGCCGCTGCCCTCATTCTCCGCGATCAGTATGACTCCGATATCCCGTCGACACCGACTGAGTTGATGAGCTTGCCGGGGGTCGGGCCGAAGATGGCATTCCTGTGTATGAGTGCTGCTTGGGGCAAGCACGAAGGCATTGGCGTTGACGTTCACGTGCACCGTATCACCAACCTCTGGGGATGGCACAAGACGAAGAATCCGGAGGAGACTCGTAAGGCTCTGGAATCGTGGCTGCCAAAGGACAAATGGCATGAGATTAACAAGTTGCTGGTTGGACTGGGGCAGACGGTCTGCTTACCTATCGGCCGGCGGTGCGGCGACTGTGACCTCGCAGGGACGAAGTTGTGCAAGAGCGAGATTCGAGGAATGGCTTCCAAAGTAAAGAAGACGACGGTATACAAGGCAGAAAGTGGTGATGCCCCGCAGCCGTTCAATAGTGACGATAGCGGGGGAAGTCCAAAGGTGAAGGTTGAGGTGGAGTGATGGATTGAATGCGGGTCTTTCCTTTTTCACCTTCTTCACTCGTCGTTGTTGAGGGGTTTCACGTTTGGACTGTTTGGACTGTTCTGTTGTTCTGTTGTTCTGCCCATCAAGTCCGACATCTCCCCATTGCTATCTATGTTGACTCTATCACGCAGTAGGAGGAGTTGACGTGACTTACCGTGTTTCCTCTTCGCGTCCGTTCTTCGCATTCTCTACACCACATCTTTGCCTCCCCCATACTTCGTCCTCCACCACCCAATTTCCCTCGCCCTTCAAACTCCATCTCGTATGGGCTTCCTCAAGTAGTTTCAGTCCTGCCTGGCAGTATCAGGGACACAATCCATCTCGACTGATAGAAATCATGGGTCCGTTGATGCCTCCATGGCCCCTCTTATCTACCAACCTAAAAGACTACTAACATTCTGGTTCTGAGTAGCTTCGATCGATGTTCCGGCCGCGGTTCTCCCTACCTTTGAGGATGCCTTCTTCACTTTCCTTGAACGTGGATGGATGCTTTCTGCGAACGATCCCGAGAAACAGGTTGCTCAAAGTGAGGTGGTCGTCCCGAAACCACGCATCACGTTCATGGAACTCCCGCACGTGGCTCGCGTCAAGATCCTCGAGTATGCTGGACTGCTGCGGAACTGTGTGATAAACATTCGATACGAGGCTGTACGCAGAAAGCACAATGGTGGTGTCTGTCTGAAAGGGGATCATCGTCATTATATTGCTCCAAGTCCAGGGATCTGGATAGAGCGCGACTGCAATCACCCGAAACTGCCTGTCGAGCTCTTCAGTATCTCTCGTGCTACTCGTGAAGAAGCCGGCGCAGTCTTCTTCTCCCGCAATCGGTTTAACGCACCCCTCTCCAGCAGAGCTGACTACAATTCCTTTGAATCCTCGTTTGAATGGGGACTCCACCGCCTGCGTTACTTGCACTTGGACTTGAGCCCGAGAGAACACCGCTACCTCAAGCTGGCCGGTGGAGTCCACAGGACGTCTCTACGGATCTGGATCAGCTTCTGCCTGCTGGCTCATTCTAAAATGCACGGCCTGAAGTATTTTAGTATGACATGCAAGGTGCGCGAGCTGGAGGTCGCCCAGAGACTCATGCGTGAGATGAATCCATTCCCAGTTCTGCTCCAGTGCGCGTTCCACTTTGGTCACAATTATGAGGAACACACTCAGAAGGTGATTCGTCGTGCTGCTTTGAGGGTGACGAATACTTTGGCAGTCAAGCCTCAGTTTCCGTACTTCCGTCTTCCCCGGGAGATACAGATCATGATTTTGGAGCTGCTCCTGGTCGACCATCCAGACCCATTCCTCCCAAGGGTGGAGAGCTTGAGAGGTGTCATCTCGCTCCAGGATCGTAAGAAAGCCATGCGACCCAGCAGCTTCCTGTCCATGAATTGCTGCCTGACCTGCTCTCCTGTTGGGGCGGTTTGTTTCTGCCGTGGCCGTCACACAGCTTTTTCGACCTCCTGCAGCTGCCTTGAGAGCCCGCTCAACTACTTCCTTGTCAGCCGAGACTTCTATCGGGATGCCCGCCAGATATACTACTCCCGTAACAAATTCGCATTCCTGGATGAAGACCCGGAGTTCATGCTGCAGTTCCTTCACAAGCTCCCGACCTCAACCACGGAGCTCATGCGGCACCTGATTCTCAAGTTTCCGTCCCACTACCGTGGTACTCCTCGCACAGGACCCCGCTCCGACGAATCGACCCTACTCTGGTGGTCGGTGCTGCGCCGCTTCATCCGCGAGCACTTCAAGATCCCGAACCTGTCATTGACCATTGTGGATATGGGCTGGAAAGGGATGGTTTCCGGTGAGCCCCGGCGCCGTTACCTGAAGAAGCTGCTAGATGGGATGCTCGAGCTTCGAGGGTTGCGTGACTACCGTCTGTATCTCTCCGAGAACCACGAACTGGCAAAGGACATGGAAATGCGGATGCTGGGGGAGATCGTATATCAGCGGGCTCGCGGAGTGGCGCCCTTCAGTGGTCCGAAGAACTCACAGCATGCGCATTGACAAATTGTCTTCAGTGGATATGACTTGATCTTACTTTTCTCTGTGTCTATTCTCTTCTTCCCTTGTTGGAACGCGGAGGGAAGGTGGCTGTCCATTATTCAGCACTTCGGAATATCTACTCTAGTTAATAAGTGGAGGTTGTCTGTAGCCAAAGGTACTTGTTCATAATAACAAATGAAAAAAAGGCTTTCCTTGCAACCAGCAAACATATCTTGACTTGCGATCCCTCGTAGCGTCACTGATGCCTGGACCACATCCAGAATAGAATTGAGTGGTCCCTTAGATTGCCCATGGCTGAGGTGGTTAAGACATACGGCTATGCTAATAGCATACAACCACTACCCTTGTGAACAAAGTGTCAACAAAGCACCTCCTACGCCTAAAGCTCACGCCTAAAGCTCTCATAGAAGGATCCTCACTAAATACAAAGACGCAAACACCCACAAATGAAGCGACTGAATCCAGCTTTCCCTCCCCCACTTCACTCCCACTACGACAGCTGTCCGAGAAAGTTGATGACTAATCGCTCCCCTCACGCGGTTTCCCCGCAGCCCGCAGCCCGATCTGGCAGCTCAGTGTTTGCATCATTCTTCAATTCAATCCTTTAGCACGCACTTCCTCCACTTTCTTGACCCAATTCCATAAATTCACTCACCAATTTGACCAGCAAGCCACCGCAACACACCTTGCTCAGAATTGAGCCCATCGCATCCGAAAAAAAAACCACAATCTCTTCCTCCCGCCCAAGAAAAACCAAGAAATTTTACCACCCCTCACCACAAAAGCCGCAGTGCACACGCCTACCTACCCCACCACAGCAAACAACCACACACTGACCCAGCTCAGCTCAGCTCACCACCACCTCTCAACCCTCTCAGACAAACGCAAACCGTACCCCCCTCCTCCAAAATGAAACCCCAATCATCGCCGATCCCCATCCCCGCCTTCGCAACCACCCAGCTCCACCACCTCAAAACCGAACACAGCCTCGAGATCGCCTCCTCCACCCTCTCCGCCGCCTCCGTCGCCGCCAGCCCCGCCACGCGCCGCACCCTCCAGGCCACGGGCCACGCGCTCACGGGCCTAGTGCTCTCGCAGACCCGCACGGGGTTGGGCGGGCGGTTGGTTGGGGAGTTTGTGCCGGATGCGGCGACTACGTCCTCTAACAGCTCCAAGGGAGGAGGGGAGGGTGGGAATAATGGGAAGGATGATGGGCGGTTACGGCTCCCTGCGCATGGCATTCGGGTCGGGGATGTAGTGAGATGTTTGGAGATTAGTAATTCTTCGTCGTCGGCGGGGGCGAAGAAGGGGAAGAAAGATGGTGGTGGTGGTGGTGGTGGTGGTGGTGGTGGCAGTAAGGCGCCGGAAGGGGTGGTCACCAGAGTTGGGGAGGGGGCGATCTGGGTTGCGTTTGGTCAGCAGGGGGCTGCTGCGTCGGCCGCGGGAAAGAAGGAGGAAGATGAGGGTGTGGAGGAGTTGTGGGGGAAGAGGGTTTGGTTGTATGTTTTTTCCCCCTTTTCTTTGTTGTGTGGTCGGAGGGAAAGGTGAAGATGATGAGGATTATGGGATCGTATGGCTGACTGACTGGTGATTGATTTTTATGCGGGGGGTAGTGTGAAGCTGGCGAATGATGTTACGTTTCGAAGGTAAGGAGATCTTCTTGGGTTATCTTGCTTGGTTTGAGGGAAGGGAGAAATGCTGACGCGATGACGGTGATGGTGATGATGTAGGATGAACCAGACGATGGATCGGATGGCCAAAATGCAGGAATCCGATCATACTCACTTCATGCGCGTCGCGTTCGGACATACCACCCCCCTCACACCCGACTACGATGTCTGCAAGGACATGGAGTTTACCGATCCTACGCTCAACGACTCCCAGAAAGAGGCGATCCGGTTCGCGCTGGCGTCGCGCGATATCGCCCTCATCCACGGTCCGCCGGGCACGGGAAAGACGCATACCCTGATCGAGTTGATCGTGCAGCTGGTGCAGCGGAAACAGCGCGTCTTGGTCTGCGGGCCCTCGAATATCTCGGTGGATAACATCGTCGAGCGACTGGTCCCCAAGAAGATTCCCGTGGTGCGCATCGGTCACCCCGCGCGACTGCTGCCGGCGGTGCTGGATCACTCGCTCGAAGTGTTGACGCAGACATCCGAGGCGGCCGGGATTGTGCGGGATGTGCGCCGCGAGATCGACCAGAAACAGGCCAGCATCCGAAAGACGCGGACGGGACGGGAGCGGCGCGCCATCTACGACGATTTGAAGGAGTTGCGGCGAGAGTACCGCGAGCGGGAAACGAAATGCGTGGCGGACTTGGTGCGGGAAAGCAGCGTCGTGCTGGCGACGTTGCATGGGGCGGGCGGGCATCAGTTGCGCGGGCAAAAATTCGATGTGGTCGTGATCGACGAGGCCAGCCAGGCCCTGGAGCCCCAATGCTGGATCCCGCTGCTGCCGGCCTCCAAGGTCATCTTGGCCGGCGACCATCTGCAGCTGCCGCCCACCGTCAAATCGACGCGCGAGCAAACAAAAACCAGCAGTGCGGAGGCGGGGGTGGATTTGTTGCCCGACGTTTCGTTGGAGACTACGCTGTTTGACCGGTTACTGGCCACGCATGGACCGGGGATCAAACGCATGCTCACCACCCAGTATCGTATGCATGAAACCATTATGCAATTCCCCTCGCAGGAGCTGTACGAGTCGAAATTGATAGCAGCTGACGCCGTGCGGGCGCGTCGGTTGGCGGACTTGCCATACGAAGTACAGACGACAGACGATACAATAGCACCCCTGGTCTTCTGGGACACCCAGGGCGGGGACTTCCCTGAGACGGCGGAGGAATCGGGGCTAGGTAAGTCAGAGAAACTATTGGGGGAAAGCAAGAGTAATCCGATGGAGGCATTGGTGGTAGGGCAGCACGTTGATGCCCTGGTGGCGGCTGGGGTGCAACCGAACGATATTGCAGTAATTACCCCGTACAACGGACAGCTCGCAGTGTTGTCGCAGATGCTCCGCGAGAAATACCCCGATCTAGAATTGGGCAGCGTCGACGGCTTCCAGGGGCGCGAAAAGGAGGCAGTAGTGGTCAGCCTGGTGCGCAGTAACGAGGCCCATGAAGTTGGATTTCTGGCCGAGAAGCGTCGGCTGAACGGTAAGATAAGTTCTAGATTAATTGGCGAAGGTCAGCACTGACTAGAGCGTACCAGTGGCCATGACGCGGCCGAAGCGACACTTATGCATCTGCGGTGATTCGGAGACGATCAGCCAGTAAGTCATTTGGGGGCGGTTGTTGGAATTTCGTGTGATTGCTGACGGACCCTAACTGCATTACAGAGGAAACGGGTTTTTGAAGCGCTGGATGGAATTTCTAGAAGAACAGGCCGATCTGCGCTATCCCGATGCAGGGACGTTCTTGTGAGAGGCCGCCCGCTGAAGATGAAGTCATAAAAACACTGCAACTGCATAATCCTCCGTAATTCGGCCTTGTGCAGCAGCTCCACTTGGCTGAAACAGACTAAATTCACCAATTCGCTCCGAGTGACAGCAAAAGTGGTCAGAGCACGCCCGCTTGGCATCCATCATTTGAGAATTGACTCCTCAATTCACCCACCATTAATCAATCGACCAACAACAACTAAAGTCTGACGGTTTCACCTTCGATTGTGTTGGCACGAGCCGAGGACGATGAATCGGTCGCGATCAGATCCTGCTGATCCTTCTTCACCTCATCATGCTCTTCTGTGCATCTTCTCTGCGTCCACAATACAGAGCCTTGTGTTTAGTCTTCAATCTTGTCAGGTTGGATACTAAAAATACCCCCCCTGAAACGTAAAAAAAGGCCCACTTGGGCGCATGCTTGCTTCTCTGCTCCTCTTCTGCCTGCACCACCACCACCACCACCACCTCCTCCTCCTCCTCCTTCTCTTCCTTCTTTCTTCTTTGCGTCCACTTTCTCTCCCTTCCAGTCTCTCCTTCCCCTCTCTTGTAGTTTGAATGTTTGGTTCGATCCACTGTCTCTCATTCCCATACTGCTTCCCCCACTTGATAGTCTTTCGCTCTCTACAAACAGACTTTATCTCGCGTCGCTCCTTCGTCTCACCATGATCTGAGCGTTTCGGCCGGATCTCCTGCTTCTCCCTGCTGACGGTGGCGCTCTCCCCCGCGGCCCTGTCCGGTCTGTGACTATATACCCGATCGTGTCTTTTCCGTCTGATCGATCATTTTTCTTCATCATCCCACGCGGCAATCCCGACATCCCGACATTTCCACGTGCCCGTGCATCTTATGTTCTCTTCTAGATGTCCAACTTGAGTTCGCATCGGAGCTCCCCTTCGCCAGATTCCGCCATGGCCGACACTTGGGATGACACCGCCCTACCTCCGATGAGTTCGAAACAACTCATCGTCAGCACTCGTCGCGCGCGCCCCGCCGAGACATCACTCTTGTCCAGCACGTTGCGCGGCCCTTCCCGCCAGGGAGCTGTTCCTGTCCCTGCCGAGCCCCCGACCGTGGTTGTGCGCGGTTCCAGTACCCATCGACGCACTGGCAGCACGTTGAAGACCGTCATGCGCAAGATCTTCACCCGCAAGACGCGCGGGGATGAAAGCGTGTCTCCGCCACCACGGGGAGGTAGCACTAGTCCGACTATGGAACGATGCTTGCCGTCCCAAGCTCTAACCTTCGGATCTCGACAACAACATCAACACTCCCCTGCACTGTTTACGCCCTCCAATGGCACGGTTACCTCATTCGCGGAAGCTCTGCAGAAGCTGGACTCGCATCCACGACGGCGTCGGGCCACGCTTCCCAGTCTGATCCTGTCGGATGATGGATCCCGCGGTGCGCTCGAAGCCGCCGTTCAGGGCCGTCCTGTGAGCAAGCGCGACAATAGTCCTCATGCTAACAGTGATCCCCTTGATGTCTGCCGTCGCCGGGAGCGCCAGCAGCTAAAGCGCCGGTCGCGGAGTGCTGCCGCCCTGCGCGGTCTGGCGCAGGAACACCACCATCTGATGTCGCCTATTCAATGGCGTCGGCGCAGTCTGGAGTCTTGCGCAGCGTCTACCGCCTATGGCGCACCCTCGGAGGTCGACCGTCCACCAACTCGAACTACTGTCGCCAGTGCGCCGGCGCTGCCCACCGAGACTTCGGTTCTGATGGAGGAACCAGCAGAGCCTGAAGACACTGAGCCCGAGGAGGCTGCTGTGGAACCAGAGGCGGAAGATGAGCGCGAGGCCGAGCCCGAGGATCCGATTCCAACTAATGTCGGCACCCTCGTCACTTCTATGCAACATGACGAGCACATCACGCTGGAGCAGCGGCTCAACATCCTGGAAGTCAAGATGATTGACCTCGAGTTCGCCATTGCTCGTCTGCAGACCGACCGCAGTGAAAGTCCCGCCGAATCAAGGCAGGCTGCATCACCCGTCAAGCGACATCGTCGCAAACAATCATCGGGGCCGAACAAGATGCCTCCGCCCATACCTACTCAAGACACAGTCCTCCCAGACCGCCCATCTAGCACAAGCACCCTTCGTCCGACCCAACTCCACCGCTCACGTACCTTACAAGCCCCCTCCTCGACATCCCTAACCGATCACAGCACCATCTCAGTCGAACAGTACAGCGCCTTGGTCATGCTACTGCGGCGCGAACAGACCGCCCGACGCAGCCTCGAGCAGCAGGTCGCCGGCCTTCGCGAGGATATGGAGCAGCTGACGCAGATGGCGCGTGACTCGATGGGGTTGGGCATGGGGCCGATCTACCCGATCCCGATCTCTGATCTACAGGATTTCCGACGTATGCGGCCAGGTGGCGGGCTGTCGTCGAGCGAATCTTCTCGGCCGGAGACAGTCGGTGTGCCGGGGGAAAGCGACTCGGAGTGGGAACGCAACGAGCTGTCCGGCAATAAACCGCTGCCGGTAAAACCGGCACCGGAGGTGATTTCGTCGCGATGGTCACCGGGTCGTCGAATGGAGCTGGGTGGGATGATATGATTGTGGTGGATTCTCCTCTTAATGACTTGTTATGCATAGTTTACTGTATATAGCCGGATTCTGACTTGACCGATCACAGGATGATTTGGAAAAGTTTATGACAGGATTACTTATTACCTAGTTAGCTTTAGTGTATATACTTTATTGATATATTGAACGGACTCAATTTGGAAGTAAGATAGTTGAGCTCAGAAACGTAGAACTTGAGAAGCTTGCTCAGTGTTTCTGTTGGTACGCAACTTAGCACTTGCCAGCGCAACTCAAGCCAAAAACAAGATACCAAGTAACAAAGACGTCTATTCTGTCCCTGTACCAGATGTATCCAAGAAATCGAATGCCTTTGTCTCTGTAGCATATTGTATGACCCTTTTGCATTTAATTCTTTGTACATTCATCCCCGCATCATACTTAGCACGTAGATCATTCAACATCGCACAGATCATCCGTAGATCCCTTCACCGGAAGGGCGACTTCCTGTATATCCGTAGCTAACAATGCCAACATGAATATCGAGGCCCTGTCCACAAAGCCCTTATATAGATCTTGCTCTGATCCATTCTCTGCAGAACATCCTATCTCGACAAGCACTCGGCCTCCCAACCACCTCCATCCAGCAAGCCACAATGCAGGAACCAAGTCCAGACCCGTTGCCGATGCCAGAGGGGGGCCATGAAGCACTCGACCTCCTCCTCCTCCTCCCACCTGCAATGCTAACCCTGGAGGATATCGATGCTCTACTCCCCCCAGCCCTAGCTCCGGACGAGGATCCATTCCCAGATGCATGGGATGCCGGTGCCATCCCAGCCATCACACTGGATCCTCCATCATCACCTACCCCACCCGCAATTCAACCCCCAATCCCAAACCCAGCAACCCCAGCAACCCCAGCAACCCCATCCACCCTCTTGCTACCCCCTCCCCGGCATCACCATCCCCATCCCCATCCCCCCCAAAGACCAAACCCTCCCATTCCCCAAACCCCAAGAATAACCCCCCTCCTAACCCCCACACTCCCCACAATAGTCACCCTCCCCTCCTCCCTTCCCCTCCCACCCAACCCGCAAGCCTCAAGGGTAACGACCTGGATCCGCACACTCACGCCCTACTTCCCCCCGGCCGCCGGCTTCACCATTTACCCGACGATCAAAGTCTGTCCGCGCACGCACGTCATGTACGATCTGGTGGTCGTGTACGCTCGCAAAACGGGGCCCTATCTGACCTCGGTGATGGGGTTCGATCGCCCGCCTGAGCCGGATGCGTGGGACCGTCGCGTGCAGGTGCTGCAGGATGAGTGGCGGCGCGGGGTGGTGCCGGGGATGCCGGTTTATGGGGCTGTTTGGGTGGGGGGCGAGGTTAGGTGGTTTTATGGGGGGTGTTGCTGAGAGGGAGAGGGAGGGGGGGGAGGATTTTAGGGATGGGGATGGGGATGGGAATGCTGGTGCTGGTGAGGATGGATCTGGATATCGAGAGGGGATTGGGAGGGAGTTATAGTGCTGCTGCTCTCCGTTAGATATTATGCAGGTTTTATATAATGGATGAACTAGAGCTTGTATGTTGATGGACTCTTTCTTCCACAGATCTTGTAGGATCTGTGTTGTTCTGGGGGAGACACTGTTTTATCTCGGTCTTGTGATGTATGGATGATGTAGCTTCTGACTGCTTGGAATTGAAATATATATGCTCAGCGGGTGTGAAGATAATCGGATTCCTTCATCCGTAGTTTGACAGGAGAAAACAACATTGAAGTTCTCTTGTCCCAGAAAGCTATAATCGATGTCGCCTCTGAAACAGCATCATGATTAGTCAATTGTCTTGGTTGTTAGTCGCTAAGAAGGGACCTAAAATAAGAGTTGGAGCTGGGCGAGGGGACGAGGAAGTGTCAGGGTGGAAAGCGACATGGATTTGGAGATGCAGAACACAAAAGGAAAAGGCGAGGCATGGCTAAATTCGATCTTCATTCTAGAAAAATACAATTTAATGCGCATATGGTATTATAGATCAAGAAAGAAAGGTACAATTCCTCTGCGTTGTCCTAGATAAGGATAACGCCTAATAGAGGAGGCCACGCACTTCTAGAGCAGCTGCTGATTTTATATACAACTTATACATCAAATCATTAATTTCCTACGGAAACTGTTAAATCGATGATTATTTATAGATAAAAGTATACAACTATCTAATCTGTAGAAAGAGGTGCTTTATAAAGCCTTACTTGCTTGTACGTGTGCTTGCTTGCAGAGGTGTTACGAGAGACCTTACTTACTCACCTACTTATGCATATACTGCGAAAAGCCTTATTCACATGCTGGAAGAGGCCTTTCTTGCTGGCTTGCACATATACTTGCTTGCAAGAGGTGCTGCGAAAGGCTTTATACATTTAGTAGCGCAGCTGATCACTCGTCCCCCGATGGCCAGTCCCTCGTAGGGCTCAGCACATACTAATGTGCTTCGCGATCACAGAAAAAAGCTCGCATCACCAGTATACATAATACGAACACGATTCACTGTATATCACAGCACTATTCCAGATAGACATCATATAGTACATGTCAACATGTAGACAGAAAACGACAGCAGTCAGCCAGTGGCATTGAACGCCAGGCAGCTGGGAACACAATGGTATCGAGAAACCAATATTCTATCAACATGAAAACCACGAAAAGGGTATAAAGCAAAGAGAGTCTAGGATCATCGCAGTAAAGGGCAAGGCTTGAGCGACGAAGAACGGCGGAAACCGTAAGGCGAGGTTCCATCCTCTCGAGTGAGAAAACTAGAAATTATGAATGTTGGCTGGAATAACGTCCATCAGTGTACTTAAAATCATCATATCATCATCAATTTGGTGGTGCGTCGTTCGGGGAATCGTCGAGAGCTGGGAAGGGCTCCAATGGCTCCATATGGCCCGTCCCCAGGCCCTGGAGGACGCAGCATCGGGATGGGCATGGGAGGAGCTTGGCTAGCAGAGGAGCCAGGACGAGGGCCAGGAGGCGGTCGGCCTCGACCGCGACCACCGTACCCCGGAGGTGGTCCATAGCCACGACCACCAGGGGGTCCCATCGGAGACATGGGCATGGGCGAGCGAGGGGGCCGAGGGGGAGGCATCGATGCAGCCGCTGCTTGACGAGCATCGCGCTCGCAGTAAACCTGACCATACCACTCAAAATAGTCCCCGTTCAGAGCAATGCCGCATGTGCGGCATTTGAGGCACTCGGGATGGAACTTCTGACGGTCGCCCGGACCGCGGCCGCGACGTTCGTCCGTCTCGAGATATTGCCCCTCAATCCCAGTGTGACATGTAGCGCAGAGGGAGCCGTTGCGTTCATGGTAATGCTGAGCGCAGAACGGACGGTCCTCGAGGACATAGAAATCCGCAGTCTGGAAAGGTGTCTTGCACTGAAAGCAGACAAAGCAGGCACGGTGGTACCGGCCGGTGAGACGGCCGTCGGCCGAGGACACGGACTTGCCCAAGATCATCTCACCGCAACCGCGACAAGGCCCCTTCGGGCGTGGAGACGGGCGAGGGGCCGGGGCCGGGGATGGGGCTGGTGCCGTCACAGAGCGGAGCAGAGTGGGTCGCTCGGGCTGATGATCGTCTGCTTTTCGTGGCAGTTTCTCCGACACGAGCGATAAGCTTCCCTGAGAGATGGCTGGGTCAGTCGGCGAATCCGGGCTGAACAGGTGCTCCGTAATGCGAGGAGGCTCGAGATCAATCGGACTTTCCGTGACAGGCTCGTCCAGCACGGGTTCCTTCGAGCGTGGGCCACCCTTGAGCTCTTCTACCACCGAGCCGAGGCGGCTGGGGTCCGAAGGTTGCCTCCGCGAGGAACTTGCGTCGGACGGTAGACTAGAGAAGGAAGTGCCGCTGCGAGTGTCAGATGGCGATGAATCCGACGACGTGATTGAGCTCTCGGCGGCATGATCCGGAACATCGAGCCCCAGAGCCCGGGCGAAGTTGGAAACAGAGATGTTGCTCTCGCTTGCGGAATCGGAATCTTTCCTTTGCTTGTTGCCTTCTTCTGGAGTACTTGCGGATTCAGCATCGGCCGGCTGCAGGTGTTCCAAAGTTACTGGTTTGAAAGCCTTGTACTCCACGCTGGACGGGGCGGCAGGAGATGCTGCTGGCTCGTCTGGAAGCTCAAAATCAACGGGGGCCTCGTTCGGACTCGGGGTAGGACTTTGGAAGAACAGCTCCGCGGACCCGCGGTTACTACTCAGTCTGTCAGAGCTACGATTTGTGTGAGACGATACTCGAAGCGACCCGGCCCCAACATGATCAATCTCAGCCTTGGCACTTGTTGGCCGGGCTGACACACCGAAATCAAATCCACTGTAGATTTCACCTCGTCCGTCCGGCTTCTCGGCAAGCTCGGCTCCCGAGAGTCGTCCTGGAAGTAGCAGATTCTGAGGTGCTGGGGGCGGCACCGGGGGTGCCTCTTCGTCAATAAACTGTAGGTGTTCGCGGGATACGCTGCCAAACGAGGGGCGCCGGCTGGACATGGAGGCCGATCGTTTGGAGGCCCGATGGTCGCTGTACCGCGTGCTGGCCACCGAGGTTCGATAGCTGCTTTTGCTATCAATCGATGCGCCATATCTGTGGGAGGCGCCGGAAGGAGGAGGGCCGTCTTTGGGTAGTGGAGGAGGTGGTATTTCGTTATCTGCCGGCAGTTCAACGGGTGCGTTCTGACTATCTCGACTCAAGCTGCTTGCATGACGTGCTGGCTGGAGAGGAGCAACCTTTCCTGCTCCCATCGCGTCTGGACCGACGTTTGGACGTCTATCCGACATCGATCGGGGCAGAGGAAATGAGGCAAATGCAGTTTCCATGTTGATTGAGTCTGGGGATTGTGGTTCTTCTGGCAGAGGTGAGGTCTGGCTACGTTGAAGCGGACGCAATGGCGAGCGTGGCCCGCCTGAAGTAGCGGTGGAGAGAGGGGAGGGGACGAGGAGGTCTTTGTTGTCTAGGGGACTGTGCGGGCGCAGGAACGGCCGATCTGCAAAGTGGTATCATTGATGAGAAAGTGGTGGTTTCGTCGTCAGGTCTGGAGGAACAACATACTGGCTACCAAAGGATCAATGCGTGGCGGAGGATTCATCCTCGCAGCTCTGGCAGCCCACGCATTGCCTGCTTTGGGTGGTGATCCAATGCTCGATTTCGAAGGTGGGCGAGGCGGTGATTGTGGGGAAACTGCCAGTTAAGAAGTTAAAAAGTGGTACATGACGCCGTAAGCAGGGGAGACTTCTACCTGGGTCTGATTTGGCACACACATGGTCTCCCATGGCGGAGATCTCAACATCGATCCCGCAATTGGAGCATTTGATCTTGGGCAAAAAGCCCATATCCATGCTGGGAGCCATGCTGGGCACGGTAATCTCACGGTTCTATGATACCAAAAGGCACACGCAACGTTGGCGAGTGGTTAGACCATTGGACTGACCAACGGAGAGACCGCTCCCAAACTGGAGAGAAATTGAGAGAAGTCGAATCAAAGACCCAAGGTGGTTCTTCACCCCGGAGACGTGATGGTGAATGGGTACGATAGGAGAGACGATCCGGAGAATGGGGGGGGGGGAATAAAGTCGCTGGGTTAGAGACGCATGGATACTGAGGAAGGAGCAGGAACACCAAAGGTAAGTTGGTCAGGAACCACTCATTGTCAACAAAAGAAGAGGAGAAGGGGGGGGGTTTGGGTGGGAAGGGCCCATCCAAAATACTAATAGTCGAACTAGTTTTGAGCTGGTCGGTTTGTCCAGTTCTTTTTTTCGTTAGACTATCTGGGATTTGGGGGGAGCGTCTCTGGTCTGGGTCTGGTTTGGATCTGGTTTGGACGGTTTGGTCCCGTCGCAGTCAGCCTAAGGAACCAACACTAGCCCGAGTTGGGACATTTAGGTGGATTTAGTTTGGGAGGTGGAATTGAAAGTTGATTGTCTTGTTTATTCTTTATTATTCTTTATTGTCCAGGACTTGGTGCTTTTGCCTTCTCCTGCAATCCTCGCAACGGACAAGACACAGAAAAAGGAAAGTATCTCCAAATGAAGCCTCGTGTGGGTTCTTAGGGAAGGAATTTCCTGTCAAGATCCACGAACCCTGCCCCATCCAGTATACGGTGATTGGCCCTCACATCCAACATTGCGTTCTACATGACTCTCACAGACTCTACTCTCGGACTGTACTGTACACAGACTGTGCACAACTATCATATTTGCTAGCCACTATAGTGAGGCTGGTGGTACACTCGTTGCTTCCATGGCCATTCTGGCTCGGTCTGGATCATTGCAACCACGCAATCCACCATACTCCGGAGTACAACTATCTCTAATAGTCCTGACTAGATATATGTACTGTGGTGACTCCCAGTATCAGGAGACTGACTATGTTCGGTAGGCTATCTCCATCAGTGTTTGACGACTTATTTTTAAATATCTAATCATCATCAATTCTCTCCGTGTTACCCCTGATTGTCCAAACACCCCCCCCTCCCCTCCAATCACGAACACAATATAATTCCAGGGGAATTCTTGAGTTTTCTAGAGGCAAAACTGGTTCCGATTATAGTGAGCGATCAGTCCGTCATCTTCGCCCCCCCTGAACCAGTCATCCTCCACTGCCGATCGTGGCTCAGGGGTTATGCACACCCCATGGTCTGATGCAAAGGGTCCATTACACGGTTAGTTATCTTCCTCTTCTGCTTCCTGGTCTCTTATGTTCTGCAACAACTAGCCCCATTCCTTCCACCCACCCACCTACTTCAAGACCCAAAAGCCTTGTGGTTTCATAATCATGGGTCACGGGGAACGCTGCCTCTTTGATCCTGACTTGCAGCTTGTGCGTTTCGGTGCACGAGCCTCCCTCTCATGACGCTGGGCTCAGTTTCCAAGTGAGCTCATTGGGATCTATGCCAATCATTAAAGTTCGTGCGATTGTCCATTCCCGATCCTAATGGAGTTTCTACTCTCAGGACTGCATCCTTGCTTTCGGCTGTCTGGCTCGTAACAACCGAACAACTACCCCCCCGATGGATATGATGGGTGAACCCCGCAAGGACAGGCAGATCCCATGCGCAAACCATAAATGTCGTTAATTCCCGACCGTCGCGAATGCAAGGGGAGACCAGGTTTGGGGCAGTGGACCGGGAGCCGGGAGGTCACGAAACGGAAAATGCTGACTGTCAACCCTTGGTAGGCCGCCGCCGATCTTTTGTGACAGACAATGCTTGTCGCGCGAACGGGCAGAGGATATCTTTGGCAACAAGCGGCAGGTGGTCCATCAAGCGAGTCGGCACTAGTGTCTGACGGTCATTCTCAGTTGAAGGTGCTGCTATCCCGTCTTGCGGCGCAGATCAACAGTGAGCCAGGTTGATCCTAGGCCTTTGAGGCCACAACAAGCGGTAACCACCCCGTCCCATGGTTCGTGTCGACGGCAGTGAATGCGGTGGTCGGCAATTGCACATCACGCTCAACTTTGAGTCTTCCAGTTTTATGGCAAGTGATGCTGCTCATGAGTCAGTCAACTGCGTGTCATCGTCAATGGCTGGAATGTGTGACCGTGAGGCGTACACAGCGTGCGGGTAGATGCTGACTGATTGACCATTAACTCACCTTTGGGGATGCTGGCACCCTGGACGTCTATGCCTGCACACAAGCGAAGGACCCGGGACCGGACTCCGGCGTGTGCCGTCTCATTCTATCTAGCGCCGAACCAGTCTAAAAAGGTCGCTATAGTGCGTAGAGGGTAGCATCTTTCGTATACAGACTTCGACTAAACAAAAAGCCTCAATTGGGGGCCAACGGCTGTGCCGTGTCTGGCTATCGACGGAAGAACCAACAAGTGAGATCACATCGTTGTGCGGGAAAAGAAACCCTGGTTGCAACTACTGCAGCCCGGTTCCTCCAGCCGAGAGAAAGGTCAGCGCCGGGCTTGAGATGGTGGATGGTTAATTGGTGGAGGATGCTGAGAGAAAAGCCGCCTCCCATGTAGGCAAAGATTGGCAGCCTCAGGCACCAAATCTTGTGGTGCCTGAAAGCCCGCAGCAGGGAGTGGTCACCTGACATATCCCCCCCCCCAACCATCCCTTGTTCGTCCAGCACCAGATGACTAGCACAAACCCTACATGAACTAATTTAGAGGGCGGTCGGGGGTACGTACGACTGATGTCGTGTCCCAACCTCCAAGAACTCGCAGGCAGGCAGCATAATTCCAAGTGCGCGGTGCCGGGTGCTAAGCGAGGCGATCAGGCAATAAGAGAGGAGCAGAGCGCTCCGCAGCCTCCGCAAACAGCATTACCGATGCATAAATTCAGGGGCCGAGTTGGCAACCATGGAACTTCTGCCGAGCTGGCTGTTGCTCACCGCAACATTGCGTCTTCCCTCAAAAGACTGGCTTGCAGCAGCATGGCTTGGTACTGATTCAGGGTTATGACTGCGTGATGCTCCAGGCTCAATTGTTCAAACCGAAGTTGCATGATTCTCCAGGAACTTGAATGCAGAAAGTCAGGAGGTTTTCGGTTTCTAACTGAGTATGTCGATGAACTGTGGGCGAAGCGGAGCCCCGCGGGTACCTGCCATCCCATGGTCCACTATGCCTACTGCTGGGAAGTGATGGAGTCCAGCCCTGGCCACTTGTCCTTGTTCAGTCGCCTCGGCGGAAATGGGCGCGAGTCCGGCGGTCTCAGGGGTAGCATACCGGACTGATTGAGATTTATGGTTGAGGAGCACGTGTATGCAGATAGCATGGGCAGATAGACCACGATCTATATGCAGTACACAGTCAATCAAGGAGTATATTTCAGTCATCACTACACTTAAAGTGTCTACATAACGCACAATTCATAACTCTGACGATCCAAATCATCCATGAAAAATCCACACCTTCAGAAAATCGGTCCAACAGCTGTCTCGCAGGGAGGTTGGTCTCCGCGGGGTTGGTTCACCGCAATCTCTGGGAGGAAATTCTCCTGTCCCAGGCTGCCAGCACATCAAGAATAAGTCACCACGGAGAAATTCAATTCAATTAAGCATACTCGCCTGAATTGGTCCGGTAGATACTCGTAGTTCGAAGATTGGACAACTAGCGCGAGCAGTAGTGGGTATGAGGGTCGCTTCCCCGAACTTGTTGAGACGGAGCTGGACGGGCGGACGATTGCGGACTCGCCCAGCGGGAGCCGAGCTGCTCCGTCCGTACCTGGTCGTCTTATAAGAAGGAACCCCAGAGCAACTCCCCTCCAAAGCTTCTCTTTCCCTTTTTCTTTTCCACCCACCGTCATCAAACCTCCAAGTCTTCGTTTCGTAAACCAACTTCCAAAGTTCAACCTTTCTTCGATCACACTCTGCCCGAGGCGTGATCTCATACCACCGTCAAAATTTTCTCCACACTTCTTAACTCGTGAGTGCCCGCGCCCCACCCCCGGATTGCTGTCAACGGGCAGCAGCATCGTGTTGCCCGGAACAGCAATTGGACCTTCCCTTGGAGCAATTCGCGTCCACCATCACTTTTCCAAGTTCAGAGCTAACGGTTCTCTTTCTAGACGGCACCACCCGTTCAACGGCCGGCGCTCATCCAACCGTGGTGGAGCATCGGACTGCGCATATCACATTCAATAAACGCTTAATCTGCCAATCTTAACCACTCTCTATTCCGAAACGCTTCCGATCCTCTGTCAATACAATGGCTCCCCACGCTAGTTCGGATGTTGTTGCCAATGGCGCCGTGAACGGGTCTGCTCGTACCGCTCCTTTGTTTACCGTCAACTCGCCCAACGTCGTGTACACCGATTCCGAGATCAAAAGTCAGTATGTGTACCACACCACCGAGGTCACCCGCTCGGCCGACAACAAGCTGGTGGCCACTCCCAAGGCTACCAACTACCACTTCAAGGTCGACCGCAAGGTGGGCAAAGTCGGTGTGATGATGGTCGGTTGGGGTGGAAACAACGGTTCCACCGTGACTGCCGGTCTCATTGCCAACCGCCGCGGTCTCAGCTGGGAGACCCGCGAGGGCATGCGTGCCTCCAACTACTATGGGTCTGTGGTGATGGGATCGACCATCAAGCTGGGCACCGATGCCAAGACGGGCGAGGAGATCAACATCCCTTTCCACGACATGCTGCCCATGGTGCACCCCAATGACCTGGTCGTTGGTGGTTGGGACATCAGCAGCATGAACCTGGCGGACGCGATGGACCGGGCCCAGGTCCTTGAGCCTGGTCTCAAGCAGCTGGTGCGCAAGGAGATGGCCGAGATGAAGCCCTTGCCCAGTATCTACTACCCGGATTTCATTGCTGCCAACCAGGAAGACCGGGCGGATAACGTGCTGGAGGGATCCAAGGCCTGCTGGGCTCACGTGGAGCAGATCCAGAAGGACATGCGTGAGTTCAAGGCCCAGAACGGTCTCGACAAGGTCGTGGTCATGTGGACTGCCAACACTGAGCGGTATGCCGACATTGTGCCGGGCGTCAATGACACCGCGGACAACCTGCTGGCAGCCATCAAGGATGGACACCTTGAGGTCTCTCCTTCGACTGTCTTTGCCGTTGCTTGTATCCTGGACAATGTTCCCTTCATCAACGGTTCTCCTCAGAACACCTTCGTTCCCGGAGCTCTTCAGCTGGCGGAGAAGTACGGAGCGTTCATTGGCGGTGACGACTTCAAGTCTGGCCAGACGAAGATGAAGAGTGCCCTTGTTGACTTCCTGATCAACGCGGGTATCAAGCTCACCTCGATTGCCAGCTACAACCACCTGGGCAACAACGACGGCAAGAACCTGAGCTCGCAGAAGCAGTTCCGCTCCAAGGAGATCTCCAAGTCGAACGTGGTGGACGACATGGTCGCTGCCAACAGGATCTTGTATGCGGAGGATGAGCACCCCGACCACACCGTTGTGATCAAGTACATGCCGGCTGTTGGCGACAACAAGCGTGCGTTGGATGAGTACTACGCGGAGATCTTCATGGGAGGCCACCAGACGATCAGTCTGTTCAACATCTGCGAGGACTCGCTGTTGGCGTCTCCTCTGATCATCGATCTGGTGTTGGTGGCGGAGATGATGACCCGCATCAGCTGGAAGGCGGACGAGGCTGAGGAGTACCGTGGGTTCCACAGCGTGCTCAGCGTGCTGAGCTACATGCTCAAGGCGCCTTTGACGCCCCCTGGCACTCCGGTGGTCAACTCTCTGGCCAAGCAGCGCAACGCCTTGACCAACATCTTCCGGGCGTGTGTTGGCCTGCAGCCTGAGTCTGAGATGACTCTTGAGCACAAGCTTCTGTAGGGGCAGTATCTATACTTGCCACTACCATTCATAGCTCATCACTTCAACCAACTTTAGTCACTCATTAATACATTGATATGCACTGCTTCCACCCAACTTTGATCGCTGATTGATAAATTGATATGCATTGTCTTCTCCATAAACATCATCCTAATTCACCCCCTCCTTCCTCTCGCCCACATCCGTATACGCATTCAGCGCCAGCTGGCCCCCCAGATGAGCATACAGCACATTCCCCGTAATCTTTCCCTTGCGAATCAAATCCACCATCCCGGCGAAACTCTTCCCTTCGTACACCGGATCGGTGATAAACGCCTCCATGCGGGCCGCATACTCAATGGCCTCCCAGGTCTGCCGGTCAGGCACGCCATACAACCCGGCATGATAATCCTCGACCAGAACCACATCCTCCTCGGCGATATCCTCCTCCGTCAACCCGATCTGCGTCGCAGTCACCCTCGCGATCCGTAACACCTGGGCGCGCGTCTCCTCCGGCTTCGCACTCGCATCAATGCCGACCACCCTCCTCTTCTTCGCCCCGCCTTCCCCCTCGGGATCCAACTTCTCCAGCAGTTTAAAACCAGCAATCATCCCCCCCAACGTCCCCCCCGTCACCGCACAAACCACCACCGTATCGAACCGTTCCCCAGCCGGCAGCACCGCCCCCGAAGCTTCTTGGTGCTTCACCTCCCACGCCCACCGCGCAAACCCCACCCCGCCAAGCGGATGATCCGAGCCCCCCGCCGGAATATAGTACGGGACTTCCCCGTTCCCCCGACATTCCTCCTCCAGCGCGCGCAGCGTCTCCTTCTCCCCGATCCCGAACTCGGTCGGCAAGTGGATGCGCACGTCCGCCCCCATGAGCCGTGAGAGTTGCAGGTTGCCCACTTTGTCGTACACGCTGCTGTGCGCCGTGTAATCGGGGACCCAGTTCTCTTGGACCAGGCGGCAGTTCAGGCCGAGGGACGCGGCGCAGGCGGCGACTTGCCGCGTGTGGTTGGACTGCAGGCCGCCGATGGAGATTAGGGTTGTTGCCTTGCGCCATTCGGAGGAGGTGGAAGGGGAGGGGGTTTGGGGGGACGGGGGCGGCAGCACGGCGGGCGCGAGGATGTACTCCAGTTTCCGGGTTTTGTTGCCCCCGTAGGCCAGGTGCGAGGAGAGGTCGTCGCGTTTGGCGTAGATGCGGACGGGGTTGGTGGGGGTGCTGAGGTCGGCGGTTATGCGGGGGAGGGGGTGGATGGGGGAGGGGCCTAGGGTTAGGGCGAGGCGGGGGATCGAGGAGAAGGGGGCGGGGAGGGGGATTGGGGTCTGTGGCTGCCGCGGGGGTCATTTTGGTTCTTTGGTGAGTGATGTTGAGGGGCCTCGTGTGTCAATTGGTGGGGTGGTGGGTTTGGGAGAGTGTGTTGGGTCTGGTGTTTGTGTTTGTGGATGTGTTGGTGCTGGTGCTGGTGCTGGTTATATAGCTGGTTGGAGGTTGGTGCACTCCGTCATCGGAGACACTATTGCGTTGTCTACAGTTATCTGCGTACTCTAACTCCACCCCTCTTCTTCCCCTCATTGCTGCCGTGGGCGGGTACTGTCGGATACGGTCTATGCAGGGGGCATCGGAAGTTGGCCGACTTTCGTCTTGATAGAGGGGGTTTGTTATCTGGGTGTGGGGGGATAGGAGATAATGGGTGCGTTTGGAGATAGATAGGGGTGGAGATTTGTGGTAGATATATGATATCTGGGATTGAGTCCGTTGTGCTCTGGCCCGGGAAGAAGATACTTTCTTTGCTTGGACGGTGGTGTGTTCTTCTATTGTTGGTAGCATGGTCTTATATCTCTGGCGGGGTACAGACTGATCTTCAATTTGCTGCTTGTCTACCAGGTCCTCATGAGGACCTTGCGGAACAGCTTTACATATATACAGCACAGCCAGAAGTAGAGCCAGTCGGCGCATTGATAGATTCGGTAATTCATTTGGTAGTCAACATTCAACTTCAATTTCAGTCATAACTTTTCATCTACGACATATCAACCACACAGCGAACGCAGTCGCCCTGCTTCATCTGCTCAAATGCAGTGTTGATGTCCGCCAACTTCTCCCGGTGCGTGATGAACTCGTCCACCTTCAGCTGGCCGTTCAGGTAGTCGTCAACCAGGCCAGGCAGCTGCGTGCGGCCCTTGATACCACCGAAGGCACATCCCTTCCACACACGGCCGGTAACCAGCTGGAATGCTGCACGAGGTTAGCTCATCGCTCTCGACACACAAATACAGAAAGACTTACGGCGGGTGGAGATCTCCTGGCCGGCAGCAGCAACACCAATCACAATGCTCTGGCCCCATCCCTTGTGGCACGCCTCCAGGGCCGCGCGCATGACCCCGACATTACCCGTGCAGTCAAAGGTGTAGTCGCAGCCGCCGTCGGTCATCTCGATCAGCTGCTCCTGGATCGTCTTGCCGCTGAGCTTGGTGGGGTTGACGAAGTCGGTGGCGCCGAACTTGCGGGCCCACGCCTCCTTGCCGTCGTTGACGTCCACGACGATGATCTTGCCGGCCTTGTTCTTGACCGCGCCCTGGATCACCGACAGACCGACGCAGCCCGCGCCGAACACGGCGATGTTGGAGCCCTCCTCGACCTTGGCGGTCTCGACGGCGGCGCCGTATCCGGTGGTGATACCGCAGCCCAGCAGGCACGAGCGGTCGGTGGGGATCTTGGGCGTGACGGCCACCACGGAGATGTCGGCCACCACGGTGTACTGCGAGAAGGTCGAGGTGCCCATGAAGTGCAGGAGGTCCTTGCCGCGCGCCTTGAAGCGCGAGGTGCCGTCGGGCATGACGCCCTTGCCCTGGGTGGCGCGGATCTTACCGCAGAGGTTGGTCTTGCCGGACTTGCAGAACTTGCACTCCCGGCACTCGGGGGTGCTGACTCGGTGGTCAGATCGAGCTTGAGTTGCGGAGACAGAGAAACTCACTAAAGAGCAATGACATAATCACCGGGCTTCACGGAGGTGACGCCCTCGCCGACGGACTCGACGATACCAGCACCCTCGTGACCCAGGACGACGGGGAAAGCACCCTCCGGGTCCTTTCCGGAGAGAGTGTAGGCATCTGACGGGGGTCAGTTGGAAAGAAGCAGATCACCGCAGTAGATATGATACGGACCTGTGTGGCAGACACCGGTGTGGTGGATCTGGATGCGGACCTCGTGGGCCTTGGGAGGTGCGACCTCGATGTCCTCGATGGAGAGGGGCTCTCCGGCGCCCCAGGCGACAGCAGCCTAGATTTTTCAAATCAAATCAATTGGATTGTGCTATTTGGGTCCCGTTAGAACGAAGCTGCTCACCTTGCAGGTGATGGTCTAGAGAAGACAAGTTAGCGAGAGAACGCGGGTGACACCAAGCTATGGAGGGGTAGCTCACCTTGCCTACGGTGTCAGCCATTGTGATGACGATGGGTAACAGGTCAAAGATGATAGCTTAGACGGACCCAAGGGAAGGCAGGTGGGGGGAGGATATAAGAAAGAAAAGAGAGATGATGGAAGATGAAAAGAACGCGGTGGAAAGTAAAGCGGTCCGGGCGGGAATAAATTGCTCGAACCGGACAGGGAGAAGTGGAGTGGAGTTTGCCGATGAGGGGGAGGGGAGGGGATGAGAAGAGGAGGAGAGAAGAGAAGAGGAGAAGGCGTGAGGGGCACGGTATTTACTATACGTACAATTTACTCAATACCTGCAAAACACTCAAGGCTATAGCTTCGGAGGAGCATCCGAGGCGGAGGATAAGAGGAGCAGTGAAGCCGATAGTGAGTTGCAACAGCATGCATAGCCACGGAATGCCCCTCATTCATTCTCTCCGCATCATCGCATCATTCAATCATACTTTTCTAAGGTTCACAGCAGATGCAGTATGGCATTAGTCAGGCTGGTCATGCTGTAACTAACTGACTAAACCATGCAAACACGTCAAATGTACTCAGTACCATGTAAGCTCCGTCCCCACTCCGTCCCCACCACCTCTTATCACTTGAGATTCTTGAGTCATCTTAGTGTGGATTCACAGAAAGGGCAATAATTTCCGGCCGCTTGGCATTGTGCCCGATTCCTTCGTCGCCGCCAATACTAGGAGGTACCTATCGCCCTTATCGATTATCGTCCAGAGAGATACAATTATCGGCGAAGTCTCGGCCTATCTCCAAAAGACACCCAATTGAGACATTTTCCTTTCGTGGTGCGAAAGATTGCTCTCGAGTACTACTTTATCATCCGGGACTGTGCTCAATGTACGGGATGGGTCGCTCTCGTCGACTCGATGTCGGCTGCTCCACCGCTTTCTGATTTGGGGGCAGCAAGGCAGGTCGGTCGTTCGTCGGGGTGAGTTTGGTTTGCGTGGTAGGTTAGGGGTCGATGGCACATACGAGCTTGTACTCATGATCCGGACATACTTTGAAAGCTCTGTTCGAATTTAATTTAGCTGACGACAATGTAGCAAAGCAAGCATCTGATTGTATACGTATACGTCTCTCGACCCCTCAGGAACAATGTCTTGGACCTGCGCAGCAACCAAATGATTGAGGAATGACGGGACGACATACGAGGGAACTACGAATTGACCGAAAAGAGCTTCGTGAGTTGAGCCTACGTGTACAACGCCTGCTCCATCGAAACCGGAGGCTTGTTTTGGTAGGATGATCTAAGGTGATCTGGTGTGCAGCCTCGACAAAATCCAATTCACGAGGCTTTTATCCTCCTACCATCGTGTGCCGCATGGCTAATCCGATCCGAGTTTGGTGCGCACTCAAGCAAGAGCTCAGACTACACTGTACGCCGGCTCGTACCACGCATCTCAAGCACTGGTCGTACCAACAGCATTCCCGAAACAACAGATATCTTCGGAAACCAGGAGCTCGTCGTTGAATTCTAAGATTTTATACACAGTTCGCCAAACCGAATGCAAGAACTACCCAGCAAGACAGTATCATACACAGCACCAGTTTACCGACCCGGCATCTGGCCCTGCTGCATCATGGCCGCGTTCTGCTCCTGGAACCGCTCGTTCAACCGGGCCGAACCCTTCATGTACTTGTCAACGCAGCGCATCACGCAGCTCTCCTCACGGTTGATCAGGGACTTGGTGGTGAAGTCGTTGACGCAGTCGTCGAAGCACTTCTGCACGAGCTTGGAGTACATCTGGAAGGACCGGCAGGGTCAGTAAATGCGTGGAAAGCGGTAGCTAGGGATGGATTTATCGTATTTATCGTAGGCAGTGGTAGAGCTTGTCACAGTCACAGGGCAAACTGAGAGGGGAATCGAATCGGAAACAGCCTTGGGATAAGATAGGCACGTACAGTCATAAACTCCTTCAGCTGCTTTCTCTCCATGCGGGCGGCGAGCTCGCGCTGTTCCGAGGCATTGAGTCTGGGCTGGTCAGCAGATAATCTTGTGGGAAGAACATTTTCGAAGTCGCGAATGCATGTCGTGACACGTACCCGTCCATGGTGATATAAGTTGGGTTAAATGGGGTAAATTTTCGGAAAATCAGGGAGTGCACACAGCAATCAACTTTGATAGTTCTCGATGACGACCAGCTCCGGAGCTTCACAGCGGACCGCAGGCTCTGCGGCGATCACGTGCAGTCACTTGAGCAAGCATCACGTGAAGCTGGCTCTCTCCCTTGGATCACGTGAGGTGACCATGTCTGACTCAGCTGAAATCCGGAACCTCTCGGTTCCGTCGGTTGCTCCATCGAGCAGGACCCGAGGCGACGAGACGCTACTCCGTACAAGACGAGACAGCCGTCAGCCCTTTGCGGCAGAGTTAAAAAAAGCACACGCCCAGCTAGGGGAGTCCTGGACCCCGACTGTCTGGCTGGCTCCGAGAACCATGGTTGGGACTATCACCACCTTGGGATCTGGACGACGGTCGATGCTAAGTCATTTGGGAATGAAAGGGAAATATCCTCTTCCCCTGGCCCGTACGAAACTCTACTGCCTCAGTCGACCCAATCCTTTTCTCCCCTCCCTCTCCCAGGTCTACAATACAATCCGTGCGTGTCCTTCTCAATTCCAGGATCGGCAGTGGCATGACCAGACAATAAAGAGGGGGTCAGAAGAAGATCTTATTGTTTTCCACCAACACTTGCGATCCTGCTGAATCATCCGTCCGCCTAGGTCCAGTGTCGGGCCGTTTGGGATGACAGCCACCTAACTTTGGGGTGCATAGTACGGAGTATACAGTACAGAGTAAGCCAGTTGCTGATCGGGTGAACCGCGGTAAAGTTCGTCATGGAGTGGTCCTCTTCTGTTTCTGTGGGAGGGGCAAGAAAGGGAAAATGAAGGGGACGGAGCAGTGACGGAGCCATTCAACTACCGCATGTATTAACTACGTACTACTACCAAGGGTTGCATCTGCTGACAGGCAGACCGACAGGCACCACGATCCTGGCCCATTCATATTTTTAGGACACGCTCTGGAGGCCTAGAAGACACCAAGTAGGAGACGGAGAGAACAAGAATGGGGCTTTTCCCTTTTTCCCCTTCTTTTCTCTTGCGTGGCTCTTACCGAGAAATGTATCAACCTGGCCCAGACCGTTTCACACTGAACAAACAGTTGGTCATCTTCATTCTTGCTTCTCGTGGAGTCAACTGCGAACTGCATCAGTCATCCACCGAGTCTGGTGTTTTTCTTCACCACGTAGGACTAGACTAGACTCAATACGTAGGCCATGATGGGGGGCCTTTCTAGTGGGCTTGACTAGACTGCTTAGACTAGCAGTTTAGGTGGATTGAGTGTCTCACTCTGTTGGGCCTCCTGTTAGTGGCTCGATCTGCAGTAGTTAGCAGCAGATTAATCCAACCGTCGTAACGGAATGATTGAAGAACCGCCTAGTAGACTGACTAGATCCAGGGCCAGAACCGTCGGATCAGGTAGACGGGAGAAAAAAAGGGAAAAGGAAAGGGAAAGGGCCCTTCTTTTTCCCTTTTGCTTCTGTCGTTTCGTGCCAGAAACCCTGGATCCCTGGAACTGGTTCGAGGAGACATCCATCCGAAGTGGGTTCGAATGATAATCATCGACATCTTTTCGATGCACCGCTCCGGAAGATTAATAAGATTAATAAGATGGAGAATTATTGACATTTAATCTTTTTCCTTCCTCCCTCGTTTTTGATAATTGATAGTCTTAAGTCTACGGTACGGTGCTATGTACAGTACTTAGACCAAGTAACTAACTAATCTATACTCAATCGCATACACACGCACTCTCTCTTCCAATTTACATACCTCAAATCCGATAGGCGATCAATGCTAAAGAGAGGGGCGGGCATCAACAGCAATCGATGACTGGTTCTTGATTATTATTGTTCCCCATCCTTTACCTTTTGACTTACTCTCCTTCTGTCAAAATTGTCAATTCTCTTTCGCTCTCCCTTCCTCCGGTCCCGCCCTCCAAATTATCATTCCCCATCAATTGACTGACGTCCATCAATCAACAACCAACAATCAATCATTCATCCATTCTCCAATTTCCTCTCCCCATCCAGCACCATCATCAATCCAGTCCAGTACCAGACTCGTGTGTCCGTCTTTGGTCTTTGACGATCTCTTCTGGACCAGTCTCCTTCCTCTGTTTGCCCCCCTTTTGCCGATGATGGTCATTGGCTCTTCATCCCCGGATCGACCAGCACGCACACCTCCTTTGCACCCTGTCGGAGGGTCCAAAAGTCAGCCCTCTCTCTGTCAGTCCACTCTTGAAGTGGATTGTGTGTGCGTGGTCTGCTAGTGATTGGGAACGAGTGAGCGAGCGAACGAACGAGTGAGAGTGTGGGTGTGTGCAAAACTGACGACGACAACGTCGAGTGTGATAATCTTCCCTCTTTTTATCACTTACAGTACCTCTCTCTACCTACCTCCTTTCTCTTTTACCTCTAAAAGAAAAAGAACAACAAAAAAAAAAAAGCCCAGCTCCAACAGCGACCACTCTCCCAAAATTCCAACACCTGATAGGGTTGTGCAGCTCTTTCGTCCCCGTGCCTATCGAGAAATCGATTGATTCGCTTTTGTGGCTTCCCTCTCTTACTTACTACCTGACTGTGACGCTCTGGCTCCCCTTTCATCCCGCCCGCCCATCTATCATCCCTGCCTGTTCGTCTCCCTTTCTTCCTCTTCTTCTTCTTCTTCTTCCTCCTCCTGAATTCTTTTCTCTCCCTTCTATCCACCCTCTCACATTCTCCCTCCCCCGTTTCTCTCTTTCTCGTTTCCCTTCCCCTCGATCGCCCTACACCGTTCGAGACGCACTTGGGCCCATTTCCCCGGGTTTCCCCTCCCATTGTACGCTGTTTCCCCGACGGCGCGGCACCTAAATCCGCTGCCTGACTAGCCCTCGTGCTATTTTGGGATCAACGCCTCCCAGCCCCGGAATTTCTTGCGCCAACGCGAGGGCGGTGACAGCAGCCTCGGTTTTTTTTCTTTTTTGCTAGCTGGGTCTGGTCTGGTCTGGTCTGGTCGTGTCGCTACTTTCTCTATTTCAATACCGCCAGTGTCGCATCTCGCCCCTCTTCCCCCTTCCTCCCGACCCTCGTCTCCGTCGCGCATTTCCTCCTCACCATGGTCACGGGCAAATCGCACGCGGGCGTGGAGCCGCTGCACCCACTTCCGCCCCCGACTGCCCAGCCAGACGTCATCGCAACCTCGCCGCCTTCAAAACGGGATCTGGCTTCCTGGTGGAGGCAGTTCAAAAGGAACACTCGCAAGGAGGAACCGAAAGGTATGTTTGCGTGGAGGAACAAATCTGAAGCTGAAGCCTGGGAGGCTGCAGTGCAAGGGTGGTGCCAGATGCGATGCGGTCATCGGCTGTTGATCTGCGTCACTGCTGGGAAACACCATGACTCGCATCCGGTCCAGGCCCGGTCTGCTCCCCTTAGCATCGGACAGAGTCCGACTGCCTGTTTCCATTACTCTAGCCGAGGGGTTTTTTTTCGCGGGTCATGCGCTGATCATGAATGTATAGAGAAACCGCAGGGTATCTTCGGCGTCCCGCTCAACGTCAGCATCAAGTACGCCAATGTCGCCATTTCGCTGACCAACGATAACGGAGAGAGCTTCATCTACGGCTATGTGCCTATCGTGGTGGCCAAATGTGGAGTGTTCTTGAAGGAGAAAGGTATGGCGGTCTTGCTCTTCGCTGATTCCGACCAGGACTGATCCAGGGGTCTAGCGACCGATGTTGAGGGTATCTTCCGTCTCAGCGGGTCTGCCAAACGCATCAAGGACCTTCAAGAGGTGTTCGACTCCCCCGAGCGATATGGCAAAGGACTCGACTGGACGGGATACACAGTGCACGACGCAGCCAACGTGCTGCGACGCTACCTGAACCAACTACCAGAGCCGATCGTCCCCTTGGACTTTTACGAACGTTTCCGCGAGCCGCTCCGCACCTACCAAAGACAAGTTCAAGAACAAATGCAGAACAATGCCCCTCCCAACGAGTCGGAGGCCTTTGATCATGCGAAGGCCGTTGCCGCGTACCAACAGCTGATCCGCGAGTTGCCCCCTCTGAACAAGCAACTGCTACTCTACATTCTGGATCTTCTAGCGGTTTTCGCATCGAAATCGGACCAGAACCGCATGACCTCAGCCAACCTGTCCGCTATTTTCCAGCCCGGGCTGCTGTCGCATCCGCAACACGACATGTCGCCGGACGAATACAAGCTGAGCCAGGATGTGCTGATCTTCTTGATTGAGAATCAGGACCATTTCTTGTTCGGAATGAACGGGACGGCTGCTGATGAACAAACACTCAAGGAGGTCGAAGGAGGTGTGACGCGCCGGCCCACTACTCATTCCTCCAACATCCGACGCTCCGTCTCGAGTGCTAGTGGCGGCGGGGAGAGCTTCCGCAAGTACGAAAGCCTTCGCAGGAATGTGTCTGTCTCGTCGCGGAATTCGCGCAACTCAAACAACGCCAGCCCGGCGACGCCACCCTCAATGAGCGGAGCGGGTGTGCATCGCAGTAACACCTTGCCCTCTAAGATGTCCCCAGCCATTCCTCCCCATCGCTATGGACGGGTTGTTGAGTCGACCGGGTTGAACTCGTCGAATCGCACCTCCGCGCAACATTCCCGATCGTCCAGCCGTGCGCCACCCACGGTTGAGGAGGAGGACAAAACCCCGTCCAGCACCTCCAGTACTACCATCCAATCACCACCTAACGTTACCACCGTTAAGAACACCCAGCCCTCTCCTGTCCTTCCACCCAGCGAAGCGCAGCCTGCGCCTAGGCCGCCCATCCCTGCGCAGCTCATGCCAGGCCGGCCTCCCGTGCAATCGGCCCCTGCGCCAGCAGTCCCCGAGCAAGCAGTTGCCCCACAATCGAGCAACCCTCAACCAGCGGTTAGCCCACAATTCAGCAACCCCCAATCTCCACCTGCAACGACAGGCACTGGCGTGGGGGTTGTCTATGTTCACTCATCGACCCATGGACCAATTCCCAGGGCGGACGTTGAAAATGGGTCAACTCCAACCGAGAAACCCGTGCCACTAAAACCAGTCACAGAGCGACCGGTACTGCATGAAGGCCTGCCTCCTGCTGCGCGAACGGTATCTCCCCCGCCCGCTGTGGTGACTCCGACGCGGGAGCGCAAGCTGTCGAGTTTCTTCTCCAAATCACCACCGCCGAGCGGAGAAGGTCGGGAACCCCGACAGCCGAATCGGTTGAAGAAGAAACGAATTCCCGGCAGCGCGAGCGAGAGTGCGCAGAGCTCTTCTCATTCGCTGCAAGCCGCGACATCCGAGCCTGGGTTGGCCGCGATTCTGCATGGGCCTCGGTCGACGGATGCTGGCAATGAGGTGGGCGGCGCAACTCCTCGTCCTCCCCAAACCACTAGTTCCGATGAACTGAGCCCACCGCGAGAAGGTCGGCCCGAAAAGCAGGCTTCGCAGACTGAGGGCGGCCAGATGGGCGACACCTCGCTCCGACCCTACGGATCTCGCACCCCGTCGATGAACTCCCGGTCGTCGTTCACGGACTACTCGGATGTAGATGCGGCGGAAGAGGCGTCGCGCGCAGAACGCAAGGAACATCGCCGCAGCTGGCGATTCCCACGGTCGTCCAAGCGCAGCAATGAGCAGATTGGTCTGGGCTTGGGTTCGCCCCCGCTCATGGCGTCGACTCCGGGCGCAGACCGGAGTACTAGCTCGATCGGCAGCTGGCACCATGCCAGCAGGAGCTCCCCGTCAGACATGCAGCATTTCGCCAACGACCCAAGCTACCAACCATTAAGTCTCGACGCCGAAGTCAGCAACCCCGGAGGCTCGCGAGAAGCGTCGTTGGCGTCGGAGCCGGAAAAGCGTAGTCTGTTTGGGAAATTCAAAGCCAAGGTTGCTCAAGTGCGAGATGGCGTCAAGGAATCCACGGAGCGCGATCGCACGCGCAGTCCTGTGAACGACGCGGATTCGATTATCTCAACGCAACCGCTCTCACCTTCAGCTACGGATGTGCGACACCGACCGGCACCGATCGATGCGACTAGCCAGCCTAAGGATGCGACCGTCGGTTCTCCGGTGTCACCTCTGCCTGGCTCCGGACTCCCGCCACCGATTCCCGAAGAGCCTCACATGCCTGAGAGCCCAGTTATGACGTCTGCTGTCCCTGCGCCTGCTGCTGCTGAGGCTTCCGTGGTCTCGGCCGTTTCCGATGCCCCAGCTGCTGTTCCCACGGAGACGAGTTCCACTGAGCCCAGCACTGAGCCGAATACTGAGCCCAGCACCGAACCTGGCACTGAGCCAAGTACGGAGCCCAGTACTGAGCCCAGTACTGAGCCTAGCCTTGCGCCTGGCACTGACTCTGTCACTGAGCCTGGCGCTGAACCTCCGGAACCTAAAGTGGCCGGTTTTGAGCCTACTGTACCAACAATATCTACGGATCACACCACAGACTCCGCTGAGGCTGTAGCAGCAGCGCCTTCTTCCGAGCCATTGCAGACGGTTCACGAAGAGAAGGCTGAGTCCGGACCGGGGCCTAGTGTACCGTCATAGAATTTCTCTGTACTTTTTCCTTTGTTATGTTCCGGATTTTGGATGACGAGAACTGTCTTAGATGAGACAGGCGAAGCTATGTACGAGGATGTGCAGGAAAGAACATGTTGCCATACTTTGGCTGCAGCTGCGCCTGATGCTTTATGGGTTACGACTGATGTATGTATTGATTAGTTCGGGAAAGGGTAGCGCTGAATAAAAGCGATGTAGACGTGCAGAGCTCGGATGGATCATTAAATAAATGAGTAAATAGTAGAAGAGTCAAGTGTAAAAGATTGAAAGAGTTGTGCAAGTGTAGCAGACTGTATCTAGCTGGTTTGTGGTCAGTGTGCGCGTGCGGTGCAGTAACTTTAAATTAGTTTGGACTGTACCCTTCGAGCTGTTGACACCTGAGGCACTGCTACAGTCCCCGTTTTTCGATTCTTTCCGCTTCCGCCTTCTCCGGGGAATCCCCTTCTCCCGGCTTCGATTTCCCCCGAGCTGCCTCCACCTCATCTTGACAGCTTTGTCTTTTGTCAATCTCTTGCGCACAAGATGGTCTCCTCCCCTCCCTCACCTACAGCGACCGGAGCAATGTCTGCCATACACAGCAGCAACAGCGCCGGCGGCGGCGGCCCCCCGCCGATCCTCAAGTCCTCACCCCCCGTTCGCATCCTTCCCTCGCAGCTCGCGCGCATCTATTCCTTCGCCCACCCCGCGGCCGTTCTCTTGGGATTCGCCGTCCGCTTCCCCCAACTCGTCAACGATCCCGTGTCGGAGATGTTGAACGCGCTTCCGTTCCTGGCCGCGAGTCAGGTCGTGTTTGCGATCATCTGTCTCCCACCGGCGGGCGGGTCGCTTGACCACACCCCGGGCAGCAGCTCCTCCGGTGCGACCCCCTCCGGAACAAGCTCCAGCTCGAGCAACATCATTCTCCGTCCGGGACGGCCTGCGCGTCGCAAGGGCGGTAGTGGTGGAAGCGGCGGCGCGGGCGCTGGCGTAGGGGGTGGGGTGCTGGGTGGATTGGGAGGGAAGGTTATTGTAAGTGGTCTTCCTGGCAGCGATACGTTCGATTATCGTGAGACGTGCACTGTGTAGCAGGATCTATGCTACGCTTACGGCCACGATGTACTGGATAAGACCATGCTAATGCGGAAACTCGTCCAGCCCTCGCTCCTCGCCCTCATTCTGACGGCTCTCCTGGCCACCCCGGTTCTGGCCATCCTCCTCGTTCTCTTCGGCGCCCCGTTCACCACGCATCATGCCCAGACAGCGCTCTGTGCGGCGCATATGGCTCTCCTGACGGCCGTGCCCTTGGTTTACGTGCATGGGGTTGATGGGGCGGTCTGGAAGGAGGTCTGGGGCGCCGGTCGGCCGGCCGATGCCGTGTGGGGAGCGGCGTTGGGGACTTGCGTTGGGGCTTGGTTGGGCGCGGTGCCTATTCCATTGGACTGGTGAGTTTATTGCCTATTTGTTTGAGTGGGATTTGGTGTTTGGGTGTGCAGTGCATGGTTTAAGGGTGATACTAGTCGGTTTGTATGACATGCTAATGATTCATAGGGACCGCCCGTGGCAAGCCTTCCCCATCACCATTCTGGCAGGCGCGTACTTGGGATTCGCGGCGGGGACTCTTCTCGGCCGCACCAAGTGGGTGTACGGCAAGCGCCTGCGGTTCACCGAGGAGGGCGAACTCACGGACAAGAAAAGGGAATAAAGTTGCAATAAGGTGTGGTTACTACTATGCATCAAAGTCATAATATCAGAATATATTTGAAATTCAATTGTGAAATCTTCTTCAGACCATGACAACCTCAGACCATGACACAACCACAAAAGGGGTGGGTGTGGTGGGTTGTTTACTCAAACGCAAGCGGGTCGTATTTCCCAAGATTCAGAAAGTCCGCATACGACAGTCCCAGCTTCGTCCAGACCCAGTACGACACCACATAACGGGGCTCCCCGGCAGACCACCGGATCTCCAGCAGCTTATCGGCAAACCAGGCCCTGCCTTCATTCTCGGACAACCGCCATGGCTCCAACGGGGCATCATCATCCGTGGTGTTGACCCACGATGGGCTGGAAGAGCCCGGGTACTCCCCGAAGATAATCTGGCCGCGGACGAGGATCAGCACGGTGCCCGACACGGAGTGGGAGATCGTGATCACGTCGCAGGGGGAGGTGTTGTGGTGGTCCTCCTCGGAGGAGGAGGCCGGGGCTGCTGCCTCGGTGGTGATTTGGATGTCCCACCCGTGGTAGCGGTCGGAGGCCGGGTAGACTTTCCCGGCGACTGCGGCAAGCCATGCGGTGGGCGAGGTGCTGTAGTCTGGTAGTTCGTCGGCCAGGCTGGCGTTGCTGCCGCTTGGTGGGCTGGGAAGTCCATTGTTGTGGGAGGGTTTGTTGTTTGGTTTGAGTGGTGAGTCTGTGGTGTGTGTGTCGTAGGTTGTTTTCTGGTGGAGGTTGATGATGGTTTCGAGATCATTTTGGGGGGAGGGGGGGATATGAGAGGGCTATTGATATGTGTGTGAGGATCAGTGGTTCTCTGTGGGTGGTAATAGTCTTTCAAGCTGGTGGCTCTTTGGGATATTGGACCTTTAGCGGGAGATTCTCAGTTGATATCAACTTGGTAGTGGGTTCGATATAGAGGGTGAGGAGTGTAGCAAACAGCATCAACCCTTGTGGTATCATATGAACCATGTACAAATCTACATCGAGAGCGGTTGCGTAGCCGTCTCCAAGCCCAGGGTATAATTCCGGTGAGAGGTTGTTATCTCCATCAACAGCGATTCTACTCACTCACACCTTCACATCCACATCCGCATCCATTACAACTGATATCTCGGTCGACTCTGTCAACAACGACAGAGTGAGTCAACAAAGCCACAGTCCTGATCAGAGCCCTCCCACAAAGAACAAGCCGGTCTTCACCACCTATTCTTCTCCAGTCATCCCACCGCCAAAGAACAAACCTCCAATATCGATTGACCCCCCAGCCAAGACGTAAGATATAAAACCTCCGTCTACTTCGCTACCTCCCTTTGAGCAACAGCCCCAACCCACTAACCACACCAAGCACCTATATACTTACCAACCAACCAACCAACCAAAACCCATCGAAGAACCGCAAACATGCGACCCGCGAACCGCTACGCCGAATGGCTCCACCGCCTGCGCACCCTCTTCCCGGACACCGAGACCCAAACCTATACCATCACCGCCACCCCGCGCGAAACCAACAACCCGGGCGAACTGACCCTGAACTACACCCAGCTGACCGTCTCCACGCCCGCCCACGGCATCTTCCTGGTCGTGATCACCCCGCATCCCCACGAGGAGAGCCAGCCCTACCCCACCGCCGCGCCCGCGTGCGCCACCTTCCTCCCGGATAACTGCCGGGAGGCGGAGCTGGCGCGCCGCAAGCGCGTGCTCTGGGAGAGCTGGCCGGTGGTCGTGCGGGATGGGATCGATGTAGTCGGGTTGGTGACGGTGGGCGCTGCGTGGGAGGGGGCGCCTGAGGTGGCGTTCGGGTACAGGGTGGATTATGCTGGGTCCCTGGTGTCGGGAGAGGAGGGGGAGGAGGAGGGCATCGGGCTGGTGGAGTGTATCCGGGGCCCGGTGGATGATGATGGGTTCGTGGAGAGGTTTCTGGTGGGGTTGAGAGGTGCGCTGCCGTTTGCCCCAGGGAGTGAGGCTGTGAGGGGGAGTGATGAGGTTGTTGAGATTGAGTGATTGTCTTTTGTGAGGTGGTCTTGATGGAGAGAGGGGGGGTCCGGGGGTCTCCCCCGGTATTCCGCATAATCCCTTCTTGAGACGATGTTGTAGTTTCTTCTGCTTGTTTTGGTACAATACAGGTGTCATGGGGTCTTGCCTGGCTTTTTGTCTATTCTGTGCATTCTTGTGTATGCTTTTGTTGTTTGTTTGGTTGGTTTTGAAAGGGGAAGGGGGGTATGGGGGTCTCCCCCGGTATCTTCTGAGAAATCTCTTCTTGTATTTCATGTACTAGGTTCTTTGGTAGACTTAGTAGAAGAAGGGTGATCCGGGGGCCTCCCCCGTGATCTATTCAAACCTCTCTTATATGTTGTGGGGGGACTTTTTTCTCCTTCTTCGTCTGTTAGAAGATAGACATGGGGATCATACCTGATTTCCCCATTGATAGACTAGTCCTTTTATCTGAGGTTATGGTTTGCTTTATTGATTTTGGCATAGGAAGGAGGCCCGGGCTAGCAAGTTATTGGAGTTTGTGGTTTGATTGTTAGTCTGACAGAAAAAGGGGGGGTCCGGGGTCTCCCCCGGTATCTACAAGATTCATTCCTTGTATCATCTGATCTTTTTCAGTCACCTCTGTCTGGTCTATCTCATAGTATGATCCAAGGAGTGTCCTCCAGGTAACACTTCACAGTAGAACAGAAAATCCAATCCAGAGATCCTTTGAAGATAATCATGTTTCTGCATGAGTCATGCTCTCTTGATGATCTATTCACCAACCCACGACTACCTGTGCATCAAGTGCAGTGCGCACAGACCGGGCCAAGATAAGTGATCTTCCATACAGTCTCAGTGAAATCCTCAACCATCTACAAAATCTCACTATATAAGTTCTCATGTATACTTCATCAACCTGATTCTGCTGGCTCAGTCGGATTGTGATGATCTATTTACAAAGATTAGACTTCTATTCCTACTACTATCAAATCAGCTGCTGACCTGCTGACTCTCCACTAGACGCCAGCTAGCCACTACACCTCCGGTAACAGCGCAGGCCCCAGCAAGGTCTCCCGACAACTCGAAATACTTGAAGTCCCCTGCACAATCCTTCTCCCCGTAAAGCTCCAGCAGCGAACCATCCCACGAAGAACCAGCCCCAATGCCCATTCCGGCCACGGAACCACTCGACGGTGCATTATGACAAGTGCTCGCAACACCAAGGACCGTTTCGCTGACGTACGAGCAGCAGGACACGTCGGAGTACAGCTCGATGGTGACGGTGTTGGCGTTGGTATTCGCAGGATCCTTCCACCCGCACTCTGGCGCAATGCTGTAACTCTGATATTGCTCGGCCACCCCCCCGTCACTGCACCACCCATCCGCATTCGTGAGGCTGAACCGCTTGCTCGACCCGGTGCAGCCCAGTCCCTCGTACACCTGGATGTGAATGTTATTTCCAAACACGTCCTGGCCCACGGCCTGCGTGACGCTGCCAAACGGAGCCTCGGTGTTGCGGCACTCGCCGATCACGAACCGGCCCTGCTGGGCTTCAGTCTGATAGTCGCAGCAGTTCCCATCCTGCCAGAAGGCGAGCGCCACCTCATAGCTGCCAGTCACGGACAGCTCGTGCGCATCGCACTGCTTCTTGATCCAAAAGCTCTGGAACTCCTCATCCACGCCGCCCGCGCTGCACCACCCGTCCGCGTTGGTCAGACTGTGGTCCTTCATCGTCCCCGTGCAATCCGCCCCTTCGAAGAGCTGAACATGGACCTTTTTCCCGAACATGTTCTGTCCGACCGCCTGGGTGATGCTCCCAAACTTGTCGTTGGCATTGTGGCAGCTGCCCACGGTCCCGAGGTCGATATCCTCGCCGTTGAACACGCAGCACTCGCCATCGCGATACAGCGCCAATGACACGGTATTGTCATTCTTGGCCGTCAGATCGTGCCGCGCGCAGTCCTGCGCGATCATGAAGCTCTTCCACGCGACTCCGTTCTTGTTGCAGGTGGCCGCGTTCGACAGCGAGAACGAGTCGGACGTGCCCTGGCACCCGGACTCCGTAAAAGTGTGGATGTGGATATTCCACCCAAACTCGTTGGTGCCCACCGCCTGGCTGAACGAGTGAAACGCCGCGTCCGCCTCATGGCACGTCCCCGTGTTGCCCATCTTGATCGTCTCCACCGTGGTGCAGCAGCCCACATCCGAATACAGCTCCATCGTCACTGTGTTGTCGCTCGCGATGGCCGGGCCCGTCACCGCACACGTCTGCGGCTCGCTGATCATGAAGCTCTGATATCTGGTCCCGCTGGCCACGGCCTGACACCCCTTGCTGTTACTCAAACTAAAACTGGTCGAGCCCCCGCTGCAGTCCAGCCCATCGTAGGCGACGATATGAATACCACGGTCGAACAGATTCGCCCCGACAGCCTGCTCGATGGAGGCAAACGGACCATCGGAGCTATGGCACACGTTGAATGTCCCGATATGCGCCGTCTCCACATCATGGCAGCAGTTATCTTCATAGTACAGCCGCAGGTTGACCGTGCTGTCCGAGTACTTGGTCGGCGCCGCCGCACACGCCCCCGTCGGCGACGGGTACGGCTTCACTGTCGCGTCGAGCGCATACAAAACCTCGCGCGGCCCGATCCCGGCCACGGAGATGGTTGACACGGGGTGCGCGGAGCCCGTGTTCGAGGCGGCCGATCCGTGCGTCACCGTGATCGACTGGAGGCGCACCTCGGAGTACGAGTCGCCCTGGTTGTAGTTGCCGACCTTGAAGTAGCTGTTGGGGTTGGCCAGCTCGTACTGGGAGAGCTGCACGAACCCGTCGTCGTTGACCGCCACCGAGAGCTGGCCGCTCTCGTACCGGATCTCGTAGGTGAAGGTCGTGCCCACGGGGATGGTGGCGATCGTGGTGTAGAGCAGCTCCCCGCCGGCGCGCGTGCGCTCGACGCCCATGGTGATTTGGCCGGAGGAGCTGTAGAACAACTCGCAGACGGGTTTTCTTCAATCGAATGAGCATTCATGTCAAGTCAATGGCAGGAAGCTGGTACTCACGAAGAAATTGAATCGTCAATATGGATCTGCCCGATCACCGTCCCATGCGACGAGTCGTCCGGCTGCGGCACCGATAAGGTCACCCGCAGGCGATTGTTCCCATTGTTGGGACTCCAGCTGGACGGACTGATCTCGCGAAACTCGGTCCGGCAGTGCTTGCTGTTGGGCGTGGTGACGCATCCCGCACTCGACGGGGACCCCGGCACCGTCATGACCAGCTCGCCGGTCGAGCCGTCTGTGTAGAAGACGCTGCTGCTGTAGCCGCTGCATCCGGCTAACGACGACCCCGAGATTGTTTGGGGACTCCCCGTGCTTCCGGTGGGAAGTTGGAGGTTCCATTTAGTGAGGTCGAAGTTGCCCCCGGGGCTGCAGGAGGGGTTGAGGGCGGCCGCGGAGGCGAGAAGCCCTAAGAGGGCATACAACCGGGACATGGCCGGTTGTGAACTGGCGAATGAGTGAGATGATTCTCCCCTCAAACTGAATATACAAGGGAATTATTGACTATATATCTGCCGTGACGAGTCATGCAGAAACCACATGCGCCATAGTAGTGGAGGCGGATCAGTAATCTACTTCAGCTGCCGAGCGTAAGCAAATTACCAAACACGAGCTGTTTGTGGGTTTTGGTGATCATGAGGCACAAACCCCTTCTTTTAGCGGCGGATTAGTGCCCTTTAGTGCCCTTGAATGTCCCTGAGGCTGAGAATGCCCAATAGACCAGTATAGTCACCTCGTTTTCATGGCTTGGCGTGAAGAAAAATCCATGTCCCTACATTAGTTCTTACTGTATAGCGGGTCCAGTGGTTCAGCTCGCGTGGCAGCCCGTCCTATCAGGGTTGCTGCTCCGACACCATTCCCTGGTGAGAGGCTCTACTATAAGAATACTATGCATTCCTTCAATACTCAGGGATCAATGCTTGAGTATCAATAGGCTTTGGGTCATCTGCGCATCAACAAGATGACCGTGGGCAGGGCAGTAGCCTGGCTATATGCCTTGGGCCTCGTGGCGTCTTCCGCCGCGGGTCCCTTGAGAGCCCCTCTATCAGCACCCAAAAATGTCCGTCGCGCAACATCGTCGGCAGATCCCTCCTGCCCGGACGGCTTCTTTTGCCAGCAATTGGACTGCCCGAGCGACGTGGTCTGTCCGTCCGGGGAGACGTGCATCAATTTTGAGGGCAACTACGCCTGCGCGCCGCCCGGGTTGCAGTGGTGTGCTTTGAATCCTACGACGCTGCAAGGTGTTGGCTGTGATAGTGGTCTATGCTGGTGAGCTTTGAATTATCGTTGAATTATCGTGTGAAAATATCTAGGCTGGGATTCTTGCTGACGATTGGCGCAGCCATGGCAACTGCTACACGTCTGACGCAGTCTGCTGCGACTTCCCCAGCATCCAGTGCAGTATTGGAACCGCGTGTAACGTGTGCAGCCCTGGCCAGACTTGTGGTAGTAATCAGTGTGTCGGTGGTGCTGAGTCCACTACGACGACTACTACAAGATCGACGTCTTCGAGTACGACGACCTCTTTGCCGCCGGTCGTGCCTTCCTCGACCACTACGACGAGTACTACCACGAAAAGCACCACAAGCGCTACGACTACAACTGGCAAGACTACCACGACTACTACTTCGATCTCTACCACCTCGAAGACGACCACTACCACTTCTTCAACCTCTTCCACTTCGACGACATCGAAGTCCACCACGACCACGACTACCTCATCTGCCTCTTCCACCCCCACCCGACCAACCCAAGTGGACTCCTTCTCCTTCCTAGGCTGCTATTCTGACCAAGAGAGCCCCCGTGTCCTGGTAGCCGACTCGAAAGAAGATGCCACGGGCATGACTGTTGAGGCCTGCGTATCCCTCGCCAAAGCCGGTGCATGGCGATATGCGGGCGTCGAATATAGCACGTACGTCCCCTTCCCTTCTCTCCCCTCAACCTTCTCCATTCTATCGTAGACAGTCTAACCACTGACCTCCCAGACAATGCTTTGTCGGAAACACCATCCACGACGGAACAGCCTACTCGGACAGCGACTGCAACATGCCCTGCTCCGGCAACGCGGGCGAGACCTGCGGTGGGGGAAACCGCGTGCAGATCTACGCCGATCGAACGTGGGAGGATCCCACCTACGCGGAACTGGCGGACGCCGTTCACCAGTACAACGCGAGTGTCTGGCAGGCGCTACAAGTGCTCGAATCATATCAGAACCATCTGGACACGCTGCAGGGTCTGTTGCAGTCTTCTTCGGCCAAGGTGAAGCGTGCGGATCAGAGTGACTATGAGGAGATTGAGCTGCAGATGATGGGAGATCAGAGCGACGCGAATGCGGCGTCGAGTAGTCTGTCGGCAGCGAAGTCAAACGGTGACAGGTTGCTGACGTTGGGACGGCGCTTGGATACCATTGACGAGGACGATCCACGCGTATCGGAAGATGCGTTTGAGGAGTGGGATAATGCAGGTATGTTCGATTCCAACATGAGTATGGCTATGATGCTCACTGTTTTGGCTACTAGTGGATGCTCTCCAGAGTCAAATGATCGAGGTGATCCGTGATCTCAACGCCAACCTCGTTGAGCTGTCAGACGCCATTGCTGCAGGCGTTGCCCCGGCCATCGACGCTGCGGCGAGTATATCTCAACTTAGGATAACGGTCTGTCTGCGTGATTCCTTCCCAAACGACGAACAGCGTGTTGATCTAACCTTGACAGATCAATGCTATTGGACTCCCGGTCTCTGCGGCCGCCTCGGCAACTGGAATCTGTAAGCCTTGGCACCAGAACCGTCCTTCTAGATCTGGTACTCATCTGTGTAATGCATAGTCCTCGTCATGGCAACTCTGGCAGCGTTGTTCGAAAGTAACGGATCGCCACCCGTCGCGACACCGACCATCATGCCCACCACCACCACTATGATGACCACGGCGACTTCCACCACATCCTCATCCACCTCTTCTACCTCGTGTGCCGCGACAGCTACCACGAACCCGGTCATTATCATGACGGTGGAAGGAACCACCGTTGAGGAATTCCAAGACTTTGTCGCGACTTTGCCGAAGGACCCCGAGGCTCTTCAATTTACCGAGTCGTGGCAGCCGAACGTAAGCCCCTTCCTTTGGAACCCCCACCAACTAACACAGTTCGTACTAAGAGGAGCATTGTCAACATCTAGTTTGTGTATATGGGAATTGTCGATCAATGCACCGCTGAAAAGTTCAACGGCAATCCCATCGTTGACGCGTGGAGTGTTGACGGAGAAATTGACCTCGATAGCAACGACGATACCCTGGATGACGCAGTGTCAGCAAAGAAGAGGTCGTATGGCACCACACCAGCGGTGGCCAGCCATCCTGGCTCTATGATTAATCCTAGTGATGAGCCGTGGTTGAACGATAATAACCTGAACGCTACTGAAAGGCAGCCACACCTCCAGGCACGCATCGAGCCGACGACCAACAGTCGCTTCTATCTTCAACAGCAGAGCCCCGGCCATCTTCAATGGCTTTCTCAGGTATCACGGTACAGCAACCTGTATGGGAACTACCTGAGCTTCGACGACTTGATTTACAATGATCCCTCGAATGCGAACGCCAACGGAGCGCCCATTGTCTATGTCATTGACTCCGCCTTCTTGGCTGGGCATGAGGTAAGTTATTAGCCACATAGCTATGTCCAGAGCCTGCGGTATATGCTGACATCGCTCTATCAAGTCCTTTGCCGACCGGCTATATGACAGCTTCGGCGTGGACGACGTAGGCACTCGGAAGACGGGGCTGACGATTGTACCCCGGAATGGCCACGGAACATGCATGGCCTCCCTCGCGACAGGGGCGTATCACTCGATGGGCAAAACCGCCCGGCTCGTCGCCGTCGAGCTGGTGATATCCAAATCTGGGGTGATACTGGAAATGCGCGCCCGCCGGGCGGCCTTTGTCTTCCATGAGATATACCGGCATATTGTGAACAATGGCGCCCAGGGCAACGCCGTCATTTCCATGTCTTTCGGTAAGGCTGCCTTTCTCTCTCATGTATCTTGTCTCTACCCTTTTTCTCCCTGCTAACCTAAACCTCATGAAAAAGGCGGTCCTCGGCAGGCATTCCTTTGGGGCGGAAGTCTCAATCCGCTCGACGAGCCGCAGCGGGACGTCTTCGACAAATACCTGCAGTGGTTCTATGACCTCGGTGCTGCGGTGATCTGCAGCGCAGGGAACGATGCAACCCAGCAACGTGAGCCCGCGCAATTGGATCTCAACTACCTGTACCCCCGGGGCAAGGGCGGCGCCGACACGCCCCTGATCGTCGTCGGAAACGCTCTGTTCGACAATAGTCGCAATCCGACCTCGCAGTTCCGGGACGAAGAGCAGCGCGGCATTCTCACCCTTTACAATGTCGGCACCAACGTCGACTGCGCGACCGTGGGATACAACGACCAAGGGGTGGATACCTCCCAGCTGAATGTCTACGCGGTCGAGCCGGCGGGCTCCTCCCAGGCGACCGCCATCACGGCCGGGATGGTCGCCTACTATCTGTCCCAGCCGGACCTGCGGGCGCAGTTCATGGCCAACGGGCTGGGAAGCATGTCCCAAGCGATCAAGACGTACCTACAGAACACAGCCAACCAGTATAAGCTGGATGCCGGGCTGACAGACGGAATCCCCCGGGCGGCGCTCGGCGATGTGGTGCCGTGCACAGGGGGCGCCGCTGGCAGACCGGTCATCAACCCTAATCCATTCGTGCCGGCCGCCACAGATTTGCGGCAGTTGGTTAGAACGCAGGTGACGGATGGAACCACCGTGGTGATTCAAAACGGGGTAAGTTATTCTCATGTATTGGTAATTATAATTGACAGATGCTGTGACTGACGCTAATTTGCATTCGGTAGCCTCAATGCTGGGATCTGACTTAGAAGAGACACGGTATTTTTGACAAGAGTGATGGATCTAGATCTCTTTTACAAGAGTTTGGGTATAGAAGATATTTTTGCCTGAAAGTCGAGACCGGAAAAAACAGTTATTCATGATAGTCCTGCCCCGCATAGCACTAACAGGAAGCAATGATTCATCGCGGGTCAGCTTAACTTGGAAGACTTTACAACCACTTCGCTTGGTTTATACGTACTTGTAACCCTGCTGATTAGGTCCAGCAGTCCAGCAGCCGCAAACGGGCAGTTCAGCCTGACACCCACACTGCCTTTCTACCCGGCTAACTCCAATCCTGTGGATCGCCCTCTTATCCACCCAACCATGACCCACCTCTGCCTCTGATCCGCCTGCATCTATACGAGGACACCCACGAGATCCATCTCCGGCTTCACAGACCAGTTACACAACCTCAGTCCTCATATGTTCGGGGCTGACACGTTCGAACCATTGTTAGTAATCCATACATGCCGGAAAAGGGCTGGGAAGAACGGCGATCAAAAGCAGCAGAGAACTGTGTAGTGAAGAAATAGCTCCGCGGGGATATGCGCATACACTATAATTATTTATCCGGAGTTTTGATAGTTCAGACTACAATTAATTTTGTCGATCTTCTTTCTGGCTTGGAGATACAGACGGGTTTCGTAATCGTGTTCCAATTTTTCTAGTTGCTAGTTTTCTCGTACAGGCGCCAGAAAAACCAGGGATTATACTGCTTGTGCCAAGCGTCTAGGACATTCTGGGGGGGGAAAGACTTCAGCGGGAAGCCAACGTACAGGTTCCCCAAAAAAAAGGTTTTGGGACTCGACATAGCAGAATAGATGCCATGCCATGCGATGCCATGCGATGCGAGACTTGATCGTATACCTCGTATGAGCTGGAGGTAACGTTCTGCCAAGGACATACGCGTATTGCATAAGTTACTGAAGCGTGGTAGCCGATTTTGAACTTTGCAACCAAAGTAAGCCACTTTTTGATTGATTGACGCTATCAAAAGAACATTCATTCGTGTTTGTGTTGACCGATCAGGCGAAATGACCCAGTATTCCATTTTGTGGTGAGTGAGAGTGGATGCCGACGGTATCTGGGCCAAGCAGGCAAAGACCTTGAAGAGAAACAACCCCCCCCCGGTCGTGACTGACTCCAGGTTCGGTCGGTCAGATATCGCAGTTCGGCAACCCTGCGGGGATACCGCCTGTTGATGGAAGCGATTCAATGAGGATTTCGTTTAGGCCAACTGGAAAGGAGTGGATTTATCGTCTCTACTTACCCTTGCATCCCGGTCCGGGCGTTCCAGCCTTCAGGTACCGGACCCAGAACCCGGATTTGGTCTTGTACCAATCCCTATCATCATCGACTCATTAGTACGCTGAATGGAAAAGAACCACGTTTGGGGATAGTATGCGCCATGCACTAAACCCCAAGCCCCCTAACCGATGCACACAGGGAAAGCAAGGATGTTTCAAACGTACGTGCCCGCAACCTCCGTCCGGCAGACAAGCTTGATATCGGTCCCCAAGGTCCACTGCCCTGCCCGCCCGGTGCACGCGCAGGGAAGTTCCCAGAATGGGGCACTATCCGGGGGATTCGCTTTGTTGATCTTGCATGTCTTGGGGGGGTTGGCGTCCGTCTTTTCGACGAGATCGATGTCCGGGGGGCTATCGGGGGTTTCGGGTTCGGGGGCGGGGGCGGCTGCTGATATGGCTAGGGCGGGGAGGATGCTTGTGAGGAGGATTGTGGTGGGCTTCATGGTTTTTTAAAGAGGGTGTTGAAAGTGATGGTGGGAAGGCTGTAGCTTGATATGCATAGGGTTGGAATGGAATTGGTAGGGTAGGTAGTCAGTCTGTGGAGTTGTACTCGTGGTGCTTTATATAACTACTGTACGGCAGGATATGGCGGGGTTTGGAACGGGGTTGCATCACGCGCTGTGAGGTAAGTTTCTTCTTGGATGGATAGTGACTTTTTGGTATGTGTCTGACTTGGTCTTGGCTGTTGATGCTGATGCAATATTCCCTTGGCGGAAGAGTGGTAGAGGGCTGAGATTTGTCTATTATTGTGCAGTACAGTACTTTGCCCCAGATCGTCGATTTCAATTGGAAGAATGTAAGAAGCCACCGTACAGATCAAAGAACAAAGAAACCTCAACCTTGGGCTACCATGCACACGGTAGCCCTCGTGTTTGCTTGAACCCGGGGTTCAGGCTGGATGGATTCGAGATCTCTTCAAGCTCGAGCAGATGTTCGTTCCCCTACCGATCTTAGGATTGGATATCCGATGTCGGGTGTGGAGCTCGTACCCGAGCCTTGAAGCTTTAAAGTACATCATGGATATCTAAGTGGTTCCCCCATTATTCGCAGCCCCACCCAGACTGGACTGCATCTGATTACGAGATCCATCCCAACCATAAGGCGTTTCGCTCCCTTACTCTTTGGGAAACGAACGAAGCAATACAATAGCTGAGGATCGCGTTCGCTGCCAGATAGGCTGGCAAGTGGCCGGGGGGTTCCTACCGCAAGCGGTGTTCTTTTTTTGTAGAGCTCCTCCCAGGCCCTCGAAGGTGAAGAAGGGACATCGAACATCGTGGAATGTGTGCGGAGTGCGCTCGTGTATGCTATACGATGGACATTAGTATCTACCGCTTGAAATTTAATCGTCTGTGCGGCATCTTGAGCTAGTATTTCCCGAAGCATCTTCAGTTTTGACTCAAGAAAAGCACGCATTCTGTGGTTTTGAACTTTTCTGCAAACGAGTTTGTCAGATTGAATGGAAGAGAAAAATATACAGTTGAGCTTGAAGATCTTAAAACTTCTAAATATATGTCGAGCAAGTGAACATTTCCAGGCAATATTCGAAGCCAGATCAAGTACTTAGCAGCTAACAGGCAAATTTTACGCAGCAAGGCTCCCAAGTGACAGTCTTCTATCCCTCATCACTTGGATCATCTCTGAATTCCCTCTGCGGATTGCAACGTCCAGTGGTGTGTGTTTATGATCCGTCTTCGCTTCTGGATTGGCACCAACGTCCAGTAGTAGCCGAACAGTCTCCATACTACCTTCATTGGCTGCTTCATGTAGTGGTGTCCATCCACGATTCATCTTCGCACTAAGATCCGCACCATTGGCTAGCAGTTGTTTTATAATTTCTTGGTTATTTTTCTCGACTGCTTCATGTAATGGTGTCCACCTGTTGTCAAAGTTGGCATTCGTATCTGCTTCTCTTTCAAGAGGCAGTTGCAGAATCGCCATATTACCGTTCTTCACTGCTTCATGTGAAGGTGTCCAACCATTACCCGTCCTCGGATTTGTCTTGACATTATTATCAAGGAGCAGCTGGGCAACCCCCATATTGTTCTCCTGAACTGCTTCGTGAAGTGGCGTCCATCCATTATCCATTGCTGCGTTCTTCTGAACTTCTTTGTTTAGAAGTAGTTGGACAATCTCCACGCTGCCCGTCTTGGCGGCTTCATGTAGTGGTGCCCTTCCATTTTCCATCCTTGCGTTGACATTTGCACCCACATCCAGCAACAGCTGAACAATACCCGAGTCACCTCCCTTGGCTGCCTCGTGAAGTGGTGTCCATCCACTATCCATTTTTGCACCCAGATTAGCATTGTTATTCAGTAATTGCTGTATAATTTCCCTGCTCTTCTCTTTGACAGCTTCATGTAATGGTGTCCACATATTGTTTAAGTTTGTATTGACATTAGCATTCTTCTCGATGAGTAGCCGAGCATTCTTTTCTTAACTGCTTCATGTAGAGGCGTCCATCCATCATATACTATATCACTCATATGTGCATCCACAAAAGCAGAGTGCTGTAGCAGTTGCTGCACAATTTCCTTGGAACCTCCCTTTGCTGCTTCGTGTAGTGGTGTCCATCCATTATTCATCCTTGCATTGACACGTGTACCAGCGTCCAGCAAGCATTGTATAATCTCCATGTTCTGCTTTTTGACAGCTGCATGAAATACTGCCCACCCGTTGTCCATCCTTGTGTTGGCATTTGCTCCCGATTTCAGCAACTGGCACACCTTAGCAGAGTCTGCCCTGTTAACAGCAGCAAAAAGATCTATCGCTTGTTGGGACACTTCAATGACTGGAGTGCCCGAGCGCTGAGAGATCTTGCTCATTGGCTCTTCAGTAGCGGTTTGACGGTGCCTAGACTGCGAATCATTCTTATCGTGGGAAGTCCTTCCACCGAATTGACTGCGCAATTCTGCAACACTTCTTAGAATTTGCCGCAAATAATTGGCCATATCCGAATAATCTGTGCCGTAGTTCAGTGTTTTCAGCGGCCTGAAATCTGAGGCGTCTCCTTGCCTGACCAATGTGCAGTGTCTCCTAGGAATATTCTTCTGGTATTCTTTGAGCCAGGTCAAGAGAGGCCCGAAATTTGGGTCGGCAAGACCGGCGGCACCGCAGCCAACGAACAGGACTGTGTCAAACATCCAGAACTTTTCGAGCATATACCGGAATTCTGAGTTCACAGTGCGAGAGTAGTCGGTTGTGTTCAAGACAACATCCTGCGACCGCAGATAACTTCCATGTAGATGGAAGATGCCGTCTACATCCCCACATTTGAAGTTTTTGATATCATCCGGATTGTCAGAGGGAGAGATTGATCGGAGCTCGCAATGTATTCCGAGGAGATGATCGTAGTTTGTCGTAACGAGGATAGCCCCTTCATTGTGCAGCTCGCGCAGCACATCCAGTAAGGCGGGCTTCCGCACTTCCAAGTTTGAGAAGATCTTTTTCAGCCAGGAGGCTAGCTCGCCATAGTCATTCATAAGACGCGTCATGATATTTATTGCATCCATTAGGGCGCCAGTAGAGTTGCTGTTTATCAAAGTATCTGCGCATCTGAGACTGTCATTTTGCGACCCAATCTCTGGGAGTCCGGACAAGTGTTTTAGCCCGTGCCTTATCAGACCATTCCATGTCAATTCAGCCACATTTTCTCCAGGATCTCCTTGGGTTGCATTTAGTGTGACCCCTGCGCCTGTAACAATAACCAGGCTTTTTTTTGTGGAGTGCGTCGGCTATGGTTTTGATAGTCGGTGCTTGGTTGTTACCACCAATGCAGTCTTGTGTGATCTTGGTCGAAGTCATTCTGCTTTCGCAGTGGTTTTCGATAGTTCTGATCAAATAGCATTGTGTTTTATGCCACTTTCCTCAACGAATTTTGTGACGCTGGTTGTCTCTTGAATAAATATTCTTTCCAATTAGACTTCGTACAGCAGACGTCATGAAAGTTAGGGGTTCTAAGTTTCTCGGGTAGAATTCCAGAACAGTCATTTGCAACATGACGATTTAAGATCAATTTCTAGCTAGCGCTATGTCTGCATTGGATGTTCTGGGCCTGGAGAAACAGTAAAACGCAATTCCGAACTGGATAGACTGTGAAATATCGAATCAGACCGGCTGTGTCATGGACATAGATTTATTGTTGGAACGGAAAATGAAGACAATTCAGACTCAATGATTGGTTGATATCACCCGAGAGATTCTAGACCTCCTGACTTGGGATCGACAAATTAAGGTTGTTTGGTTGAAAACTGTAGCGTGACCTCCAAACTAAGTTTCGGCTGATCATCCAGCCCACCATTTTCCCCAGAACTAGCCAAATATATCCTGGAAACCATACTCCAATAAAGGCTAATCCTGGACCGACTACAACGATGACTGTATTTCGAAGGCAGTTGCCGTTTCGATCGTCCTTTTTTAGCACGAGAACTAATTGCGTTGAAAACAAGTAATGGATAAGCAGAGGGTGTAGAGGGGAATAACTTTGAACAGGGGCTCCAGTACCTTCAGAACCTCGAAACGCGGTCCCTAAAGTGTCCCAAATGTGGTGGTCGGGGACATACCAGGACTAGGTTTTCCAGGCACTGATAAATTAACTTTCATAATCCTTATTTCATTTTGGGTTGCTTCGAATAGTTTCAAATATAACAAATAGAAATAATATCTTGGTCGTGTGTATATCGCCCGGGATGCGCAGGTGTCTTGCCGTATCGAATGGCTTTCCGTCCCATCAGTTAAACGCTCGTATTCCATTTCAGCTGAGCGAGGCCTTTGCGACGTGGCTATCCGGATTTAGTATCGCCTGCTTCGTTCCAGAGCTGGAATTCAAGCCTCGCGCGGGTCTTGATCGATATATCCGCTGAATCTTGCAAGAGCATTTTTTCAAAGTGGTTGGTTCTCGGTAGAATGGTGTAGAGACCGTGGAATGCTACAGCGCTTCGCAACTCTCCCTTGCTTGAATTTGAACTCTCTGGCTAGTTGTCGGCGCCACTTCTGTAGACTATTCTCTGCGACGGATACAGTACCCGCGTAGCTCAAACGGTAGGTATAGTAGATGTACAAGTACAGCGCTAGCAGTTTCGTACTTTCGAAGACACTCTGAAGTATCCGCTGCGAACCAGACAGCTTCGCTCACAACCTTGTGTAAAGTCGAGATTTGCTTTCATCTGCTTGCCAAAAGGTTACGCTTTTGGTAAATATAAACTCACAGACAAAGAACGATACGAGGCGAGACCGCTTGTATATCATTCTCTCGTTTCAGCGACGTCCCAGAAAAGTCTAGACTTAAATACCAAAGCTAGTCTCTGACTACTTATTACATCATAAATCCAATGCCCTGAAGCTGCCGTCTAGAACGTGGATGGGCGGACTGCCTGTGCGGAGTCCAACGGGCTTAGAGGCTCTAAAGGAGGTGAACTACAACTGGCGGGGCGGGGGGCATAGGCAAGGAAGGGGTTTTTTTTTCAGTCGCTGTTTATTGACTGTGGAAAGTAGCTGGACATATCAACGATTCTTAAAGTTGTGCGCTTTTGCCGCAGAGATAGAGACGATTGCCTGAGAAAAGGAAGATAGAAGAGGGTTCTCGTCTTGAGTGTTATGGAGTTATGATTAAATGTAAACCGATTGATGGGCTCTGCAGAAACCGTGATGAGTATTTACAAGAAAACATATATATTCGTAGGAGGAGATTATGACAGATTGGTGGCATAGAGTTTATATAGTTTCTAAATCTAGGCTATAAAACTGGTTATAGATGCTAAAAATGCCAGTGATTGTTTCGAAGGTGGCTAATACATGAATACAGCATCCTTTGGGATTGGTGAAGATATATATCTTTATATTATTCAATATTCGGAACGGCGTACTAAGCATAACGTAGCGCTAATGTAAATCTAAAAACAGGAAGGAAAAGTTGTTCAATTCCTGCAGAGATCCTGTCTAGTAGTGACCGATCATGCAGGGCATCACGCGGGGCCACCTACCAGCAAAGTGTTTCGAAGATGAAGAGGAGGTCTCATAATAAATAGGAAGCAGTAAGAGACAGCAGAAGGAATTAGAGATCGTATGATTCGCGTTCTGCCCAGGACGCTGTGGGCTCATTGATGGCAATCGATACATCCAAAGGTACCTGTGAATCTATTAGTCGGCCTAGCCGACCACTCGGTCCCCTCTGCCCAACAGCCAGCCCCTTGTAGGGCGCAGTACATGATGTTCTTGGAACAACCTCCAACATCAAAAGTTCTTTAAAGCAGGCCCGGCAGTCTGGCAAGACCAGTGTATCTTGAGACATAGCTTCCATTCCAGTGCTGGTTACCGCATCCATTGCGTCCCACTGTACAGCGTTGATCATCTATATCTATAGAACCCCGTTCTTTCGCTCCCACCCGCCGTAGCCCCCGTCCTGAGAAATTCAAATCAAGGATTCCGCTCATCCCGCCCCGTCTCCTCCACCAACCGCAGCACTTCGTCGCGTCTCGACAAAAACACACTGTGCGCGGTATCCACCTCCACCACGCGGACCGTCACCCCGTCCTCCGCGACATGCTTCAGCATGAGATCCTGATACACGCGCGGCACGGAATAATCCTTCGTCGTGGTGAGGTAGGTCACCGGCAATCTCCGCCACGCATCTCCGCCACTCTGCGTATGGAACGCGCTCAGCGGGCTGCGCACGAGATGCGGCAGCGCGGCGGCAACTTGCTTCTCGTCGCAGTCCCCCAAGAACAGCTGGACGGGGTCGACGGGGAAGGTGGAGCCATCCTCATGGTTTTGCACGAACTGCGGCCAGAAGCCCGTCATCTGGGCCTCGGTGATCACGTCCCAGACAGTGCGGCCGGGGAGTTGGATGTAGGCGCAGAGGTAGAGGAGGTGGATGATCCCGCCGGGAAGGTTTTGGGCGGTGCGGGTCGGCAGGTCCAGGTCTTGGGCTGCGTCGGTGCCGATGGCGCCACCGTAGGAGTGCAGGATCACGAGGACGCGCTCGCCATTGTTGACGAGGGTAGTGACCAGGTTGCGGACGGTGGTCACGTCGTCTTGGTAGGTAAACGGTGGTGGGGAGGTGTTGGTGCAGCTGGGCAGGTGAGGGCAGTGGACGGAGAAGCCCCGCGATTCGAGGTCGGTGATGAAAGGGGCGTAGTTGGCCGGAGTGTGCCAGGCTCCGTGGACGAGGACAATGGTGGGGTTTGGGGTGGGGGTGGTCATTGTGCTGGGGATGGGGATAATAGGGGAGTTTGGGAGCTGGAACGAGAAGGAGGCGTGAGGGTGGTGGTACGGGGTTAGCCACAGACTCAGTTATGTACGGGTATGTGTTGTGAGAATTGATTGTTTACTGGGAGGTTGGCTTTGATACGGCGGACAGACAAAGATCAGTACTCGGTCAGTTCGAAAATGGTGTGATTATGGAACACTTGATCTTAGTTAGTTTGGACGCTAGTTCTTACTGACAAAGAAAAACAAATTACGAGATAATACACAGTAGTTAGTAGACTAGGTCTTGCTAGGTATTCTTACTTTAGTAATCAAATAGTTTCGTGGGGGCCAAGCCTAATGCGTTATGCAGGGCGATGTAACCTTCCTGCTGCTGCCGCTGCTGCTGCTGTTGCTGGAAGGAGCATTACACTACCTAGTATGAGGTCCAGTCCCCACTCGTGTCAATTTTTCCAATCCTCTCCAAGTCGCAAATCAACCATCAACAACCATCAATTGAAATCAAGGCTCCTTCTTCTGCCCCACCACCACCACTCGGTCCATGGCGTACATTGCCCCCCACTGGGACTCCCCCACCGCGCGAGGAATCAAAGCCCGAATCTGCTGGGCCCGGGATCCTTCCGCCGCCCGCGAGGCAATCACCCCGTACATCAGGAGATTGCACTGGTGCATGGCGAACTGCCTGCACGCGGTGGGTCTCCACGGCGGCCAGTCCCTCCCGCGCGAAATACGCCCCCAACTGGTCCGGCCACTGCGGAATGAGCCGGGGATCCTGCGCCGCCGTCAGTTGGAACAGCTCCCGCAGCCCATCATTTGCCAGCGACGGCTCAGCTTTGACTAGCCGCATGGATGGAACAACCGGCTCGCCCCACTGCAGCCAACCGCCGGGTTCTGCTCCGTGCGTTACGTGAGCACGTTCAGTGTCAGCCGATCAAACCGTAAGTGACATTCAGCAAGCACAGCACAGCAACATTACATACTAAAAGGAGCTTGAGGAACCGGCGGAGGAGCTCCGTCGACTCCCCCTTCACCACAAACACTAGGACGTGCTCGCTTAATTCCTCACACACTTTCTCCGTCGCAATTCTTTGTTGAAGAAAGCAAGATTGCCGGGGATACAGTTCTTTTTACTATGCAGTTATAAGACTATGAAACCGTATGCGCAATACCCGGCTGCACCGCAGCGGGGACTACCAAAGACCCCCAAATCCAATATACGCAGCCAGCGCGTTGTTGTAATCGCCATGCGATATTCTTTACTAATCAGCAGCTTTGCCCTGTATACCCACCCATGCAGTTTTTTTGGCGTATTGTTTTGATGTTATATAGTGCTAGGAACAGCCGGCCAGCCAACAGCCTAATAGCAGAAAGTTATAGCCTTACTGGTTTCAGCTTGGCGACCGCGTCTTCCTGCGATATCCCGCCTGCTGCCGCACGTTGCTGCGCTTGCCGGCGGCGTTTGCGGCTCCCTTGCCGCCGCAGATCTCCTTCGTGGAGACGGCCGCACTCCCCGACAGCGGGATTGCTGGCTCTTTATGCTCTGCGCACTCTGGGATGCATCTCGACGGATGACTCCGTTCTTGTGCGCCATGCAGCCAACGGGGTCGGTCAGCTGGCGATCCAGCTTGCTCAGCTCATGAGCGCCAAGCTCATCGTCACAGAGGATAGCCAGAAGAAGCGAGAGACGTTGCGAGCAGAATACAACCTTTCCCCGGAGTTCATCCTTTCCGAGCGCCAGAGTGGCGTCGAGATAGTCAATGAGATCCGCCAGGCTGTCTCAGATCGAGGGGTGGATCTAGTCTTGAATTTCGACAGGCAGGAGTTGGAAGGTTCGCCGGATGCCTTGGCACCGTTTGGCACGCTGGTCAGCTTAGAACTTTCCAACAATCGGCCGTCTGACCATCCCCGTCTCCTCCGAGACGCCGCGTCCAGGTGTATCACCCTTGCTGCCGTGGACTTAACCAAACTTCATGGCCAGAAACCCGCGATTTTGCAGCAGCGTCTTTGGCAATTGTCGCAGCTTATGCTAGACGGGTCGGTGGTTCCGGTGACGCCGCTGGAAGTCCTCGCGGCTTCGGAACTTGCCAAAATCCTACAAGCCGTGCAGAAAAGTCAGATAACCGGTAAGGTAGGCTAGATCTAGGTCCACGGCAGTCCGTATCAATGAGTGCAGCTATAAGAATTTTTTTTTCTCTTGTTTGTTCAAACGTTCTCCAAGAAAACAAACTAACCAACAAACCAACCAATGGAATGACCACCATGCAGGCTCATATGCGCAAGAAATCACAGTATCAGTTCAACGCGAACGCGAGATGTGTGATTGCAGGCGGCTTTGCCGGGCTGGGCCGTAGCATGTGTCGATGAATGGCAAGTCGAGGAGCGCGAAATCTCCTCGTTCTGTCCCGGTCCGGGGCCCAGTCCGAGTCGGCGCGTCAGCTGGTTCAAGAGCTCAGTATGCTCGGGGTCACGGTGGTGGCGCCGACATGCGATATCATCCAGCCGGATTCACTCGCCGATGTATTTAAGAAGCATGCCTCTAAGTTACCTCCCATCCGAGGATGCCTCCAGTGCACCATGGTACTGAGAGTGAGTGATGACAACCTTTTTTTCCGAAAGCCCGCCAAAGACCAAGCTCAACCCTTCAAAATGCCGTGCTCACCAACATGACATACGAGGACTTCATCCTCAGCACACGACCGAAAGTCTTCGACTCATGGAGCCTGCACGCTCTCCTCCCGAAGGGGATGGATTTCTTCGTGCTCCTCTCGTCGGTCGGCGGGGTGCTCGGCGCCCCCAGTCAATCCAACTACTGCGCCGGGAACACCTTCAAGGACGCGCTGGCGCGGTACCGGGTGCAGCTCGGGGAGAGAGCCGTCGCCATCGACCTGGGCAGGATGGCCGGCGAGGGGGTCGTGGCCGAGACGGCCGGCATGCTGGACTCGCTACGCCGTCTGGGCTACTTCATGGACGTTACCCCGGCCGACCTGCACGCGCTGCTGACCCAATACTGCGACGACGCCACCGCCCGGCAGTCGCCGGTGCCGTTCACGTCCACCACATCTCCCACCGAATCGCAGGTCGTGGTGGGCTTCGAATGCCGCGAGCGTGCTGCGAGCGAGCCTGTCCGTCGCGGTGGCCGCGGCGCAGATCGTGCAGTGAGTCGTGGCTAAGCTGGCGCAGATCCTGGGCCTTCCCGTGGAGGAGATCGATGTGGATCGACCGGTGCATGCAAACGGCATCAATTCATTTGGTGCGGTCGAGCTGCGTAATTGGTTTGGGAAGCGCATCGGGGCGGATGTGGCGGTCTATGAATTCCTGGGCAATATGTCTCTGGCGGAGCTGAGTCGGTCTGCGGCCTAGAAGACTAAATTTCGAAATTGATGATTCTCTAGATAGAATCATAGGTGAGATGGTGAGGGAGAGGGGGGGGTGTGCCTTTCAGGCCACCCTTGTGTAGCTAGCTAGCCATATAGGGACTTGGCCGGGTGATAGTGTGGTTGGATTTCACTGCAAGGACCAGTTACACCTAGTGATATTGATTGATCTGGAGGATAATATCTTATTCTTGGAAATTCTTTACAGCCAATCCCCTCAATGGCATTGCAATTTGTTGGATACTAACTATTGATGAATTTATAGAATGGACCCGGCTAGGCAACCTGCCTGCCATCACCGCTCTTCTTGATTCTGTAAATTCTGTAAATCTGCCCACGGCCTCCGATACACCCCTTCACATCGCAGTCCACAACAACCGCCCCGAAATTCCTCGCCATTTGATATCACGGATTTGATGTCGACCAGAAAGGCTGTGAGTTGTATCGTGATATTAGTTTACCGCCGCTGCACCTCGCTGCTATACCGAACTCTCCGGGATGGATAGAGCTTCTGCTCGACGCGGGAGCGGACCCCGGCCAAGACGACGTATCAGCCGATGAACTCTGCTGCACGCAATTAAGGTACCTTGGTGAGGACGGAAGACCGCATACAGTCTTTGAGACAGCCACATATCGGGGCTGTGAGACCGCTGTGCAACGCTTGATCGACCGGCTGTAGCCCGCGGGCCTTGTCGGCGCCGAGGAGTGGCCCGATGCGGTGACGAAGAGGAGGCCGAAGTCGATTAGTCAGTCTGCGTTTGTTGCATTTCTTCGAACAAAAGGGCGCTGACCTGAATAGTATCCAAATGTAACCAAACTTAAGAGTTTCAATGACTTAAACTTATACAAATAATAATGAAAACTTCCACAGGACTGAGCTAAAGCTCTCACTCAAAATGCAAATATCTTTATGTTTTCTTAATCCGCTGCTTACCCTGTAATAGATATAAAGTATACAAAGCCAGCTTTAGTAAACGGCGATTTCATAATATATTGGAGCTTCTAGTATTTACACCCTTATTTATCGGTAAGTATCTACTAAGCGACTGTAGATTAGATATCTAAGCACAAATCCAATCTACAATTCAAAATAATCAAACCAAAAGCTGCTAGGAAATAGGTTGAGGGTCGACCCGACTTGTGAGCCCTCGGGCTTTGGTGAGACCTAAGTTAGTGGGTGGGTCGACCCGGCCGGGGCCATGCTAATTGCTGGTCATTATCGTCACCTGGATCGGCACGATCCGCTCGGAATTCCTGGAGCGGTGCGGAGTAGGAGTCCCCGACTTGCTTGGTGACGGAGACTGTGCTTATTATACGTGATTCTTCGGATTCAATTTCCCAGGTTGACTACATTTACGATTCCTTAGTAGGGCAGTCTATTACCCTGCGGTGCAACCGATAGTCTCTCCCAAGGCGGTAGAAGATGGGATACTCGCCCTTGTTTTTTGGGGGGGTGGAGGGAGCAATCAGGGGCCCGCAATTTACTGGAGAAACGTTACAGCGATGCATTGCTTTGCGAGTGAAGTGTAGTCAACAGCCTGTGATCCTTTCCCTTCGAACAGGAGCACCGCAGTGTCAAGAAGCATAACATCACTATACAAGTGAGGGTCACCGCTACGAAGACACCGAGTAGCGAGCTCCCACGGATACGAGTATGGCACAATGCGCGGATTTCTTATCTCTTCACCGAGCGCTATGCAGATACGTGCCTCGTACAATACATTGGTACCCTGTTTGAAGCTGCAGCAATGTAGTAACCGGGGTATTTAGGATGCAGTCGATGGCGAAACTCGACAAGCCATGCGCATTGGGGGCGACTCTGGTTAATCTGGTGAGGGACAACTTTGGGCCATCTGCGAGTTGCGGCATGGCCCACCGCATGTTCGTGCGTTGTTTCTGGCTTGTGTTTTCAGCGACAGACTAGATAAGATGTGATTGTTTTACTCAGATGCTACACGCTTACAAATATCGTAGAAGAGATAGGGCGAGCATAACGATACTGGCTTGGTAGGAGGCATGTCCCCTCTCATTGGCGGCAAAACCACAACATGCTGTGACGGTGCAATTCTACTGGGAAAATATGGGCTGCAAGCATGAGTGGCGCTGCTCTTGTCCGTTTTTCATCACACTTTACCCGGGCACATATTCTCGTGCTGCAGCCAAATGCAGTCCCATGTTCTTCAATTACGCAATTTCGACGCCTGTGGTCAAAAGGTGATTGGAGCACCACCTCGGAGGAGGCCGCAGCGGTGGATCCATACCCTAGTTGCTTTATGCCTGTCAGATTTTAGTTTCGAGAGGGGGGCCCCATCGGAATCCTCCCCCTCACAGACCCCCCTACGGCCCGTCCGAAGTCCGCTCCGAGATAATCTATCCGGTGCACTAGAACGCACGAGGGGCGCTGAATGGTGGTGGTGTGGGCCTGAGATCAAACTCAACAGTTACGTGAGAAGAATCATATCCAAATATAGCCGAGTCCTTTTGTTATTGGATCAAGAAATGATCTTTCCAAGCGGGCAAGAATTGAGACAGCGACATTTCTTTAGTCGAATGATCATCGTTTCGTATACAATGGTATAGATGTAGACATATGAGATTGCCAGCTAGAAAATTTCAATTCCAGTATTCAAACAGCGATATGAATTTCTATAAACCCTCTCTATTTGTGCATATCAAGAGGCTGATATACGCAGTATAAAGAGCGGCTCGCATACATACTAGGTAGCCGGATCAGGTGACTAGGCGCGTAGTGGTCATTTGATGCCCCATCGACAATCGTGCTGCGCGCAGTAATTCGGCTCGGTCAATCGTCAGCAGCTTATTTCGTAGGAGGATGATGGTCTAGACCACGCTTTCCAATCGCCTGTGAATGACGTCGCATATTGTGGTATCCCATTTAATTTAAGACCCCATGAAGAGCCAATCACTCAATACGAAACAGGACCATGGCGTTGGACGATTTATCATGATCAGATAGCATCAAGCTCTCGCTTTTTCTATCAGGACATCGCCATTCGGGCAAGGTCATACAGTTTATCGACTGAAAGGTACCAGCCCGCTCGGCCAAAATCAGTGAGGAGTAGTACGGGTGATCTAAATATCTTGACTCTTGCGACTTCAGCTGCAAGGAATGCTAGAGTGGGAAGGCCACGCGGACAAAGCCGCTTTGTCCTGTGCGGGCTGATTCTGAGGGCTTATCTGTTGAGTACTGAAGAAGACATTCGTTTGGTGGGTGGGTAATCTGATCTTCACTCGGGGGGTTTCGTAAGTCATGCCCTGAGACACGCAAGTGAAGGTCGGCATCATAGTCTCGCGGTGGTGAATTATTGACAGTGCCTACGCACTTCCAGTAGTAAAAGATACAGTGTGCATGGAATGCTTCACATCCTTGTGAATACGAAGTCGGGTCGAGTCATCATTTAATCTCATTATCTAATAGTGGCAGCGGTTGTTCATAGCTCACGACTTAGGGCTAGATCCCGACTTGAGCCTTCACATGATCAAAGTACCCGCTGCTTCTCGGTGGAAAGCGCTGATTGAGAGAGCTACCTAGCGAGCCCAACAGAGGCGTAGTCACGTTCCATCAAGTTCTGCCAGCTTTACTCCATCCCAAACTCTAGAAGTCTGCGAACGACAACTTATCCTGAGTGTTTTTACTTGAGATACCGATGCCGAGACTCGTGAATGGGACAAGTCGCTTATCTCGGCATGAACTGCGCCGTGCAATACAACCCGGATGAGAAGCGAGGTCACCCGCAGAAGCGCAACGGAGATCAATTCGGGTCCGAGTCCGGTGGCGCCCACGGAGATAACTATCTTTCATCTCTCCTGGTCAGACTGCCACATTCCAGGTCTACTCCTAACATAGCTTTAAGTGCGGGGAGAGGGTGCGGAGTAGCTTTTCTCAGCTGGCGGGAGTCATATTCCAAGGTATACTGCCCGAGTTGCCACGCTTCGGCCGCCTGCTGTGAGGGGCAGACTGAAGAAACCAAGCATGTTTGCCCAGGCGACTCGGTGCGAGTGCCCCGCTCGGCGCCGACCCCAAATCCGATCCCACGGGCGCGCCAACCCAACCACACGACAAAAAGTACGCGGAGTGGAGACAGGAGCCCTGAAGCCACAGAAAGCAGAAAGTAATCAGGGTCTGAGCCGGAAATGGGAAATGCTGGCCCCATCGATGCATAACTAGCGTGATTTCCGTTAGTCACAGCTTTCTCCGGCTGCGTTGTGACTGGTTAGCAGCGCCTGAGCCAATTCTCGACTTCCTGCAGCTCCCCTGCAATACCTCCGCTCTGGCACCTCGCAAATTCCCCGTTTCTATTTACAGATCATTGTCTTTCGAAGCCTGAACTGGATGGAACCAGAATATGAAAACCATGCGGTCACTATGGCTCCGGATGTGCCAAGGGAGAGGTCAAGAATCTTGGGTTTGTGCTTACGGGTATAGTACCCCAGAGAAATAGCATGGGATGAATTTAGGTAGATATCCCTCGACTGAAATAGCTGGACACTAGTCATTGAGCTTTAGGTCGCAGGATTGGGCCTTTTCCAACCGCGGCAGTCTGATCAAGCATGGAAGGGGCGTTGGGAGACACTGGCATATTTCGTAGATTTGAGATGAATGCTTTCATTCCCTTCCATATCGCTAGATTCCGAAGTTCTTATCGGACCAATTCATGAGGCTGATACTTCACCTCCAACGCAGTGACCCCATACTTTCCCACAGATCGCACTTGATTCACCAGCACCAGTCTTCCCTCCCCGTCGCTGACTCCGTTCAGCAGGTTGATCACTTCGGACAACCCCAACTCGCGTTGCCTTGCCAGTTGTAGTAGGGACAGATCGCGGATCCGAGCCAGCCTTATCCCTTCATCTGAATCCGACCTCGAGGGCGCAACGACGACCAAGGTAGCCGAACGGTTAAGCCGCAGCGCAGGTAGATGTGCGCGAAGCTCAGCCGAGAGGTGCGTCGCCACCAAGGCAGGTGATGATCCTGGCACGGGGATGGGAAAATTGAGGATGTACAGTGCGGCGTCGAGAATTGGTTGTGTTGATCCTGGCTGTCGGTGGGAGATGGTTATCCTGGGATTCGATGTCCGAAGTCGGTCATGTCTGGAGGATTGGAGTTGGACTGTAAAGCGGAGCGATGGATATTGGTTTGCAAGAGCGATGGCCCGTTCTGTGGATCTTGCGCCGACCTTGCATTCGGACATGGGTGAGTGACAAGAAAGCAGGCTCTGGGTGACGGGGGAGCCCTTACCTCAACAACGGCAGATTCATTCGCCATGCGAATTGCCTCTAGACAAGTCAAGACATCGGTTGCTGTATCGCACACATGGCCCGTTCCATATCGGAGATAGGCCTGCCACTGCCGCTGAAGGCGGGGCATTTGGGCTTGACTGGCAGTGGCGAAGGAAGACAGACAAGGGATCCCATCCTTTCGCCCATAGGAGTCGGAATCCTGCTTTATACTTGTCGCTTTGGCCAACGCGGCAGGGGCAGCCGTTTCAGCCAAAAACATGGCTGCGTCAAGATACGACGGTCTTGACACAAAGGCCGCGGAAACCTCGCTATGGGACACATGGCCTGGCTGAGGTTCTTGGAGAAATCCCCCGGTTGTGGCCATTCTGATAACCCGACTGAGCTGGCTTTCTGGAACCCCAATAAGACTGGAAACATCCTTGATCAAGGCTGTGCCGTCCAACGGAATACAAGCCGGGACTTGACTGTCGCCAAGCCATTGTATACAGGCCAGCAATTGCAGCTATCTTTCGGTTAGTCAGTATCTCAGTGAGGATAAAAACGGCAACTACCTGGCCTGCCAGATTCTGCAGCAAATCCGTCGGTCCAGCCAGCATGACTTGCAATTTGGTCAGACTTGCCAACGCGGACTCTCTTGCTTTGTGGACTTCTGGGGGTGCTTCTGTGGGTAGCAGCTGTGGTGGTCGAGCACCTAGACTGTCTATCCCTCCATTCCTGTAATGCGAGGCAAGCTCCTCCACTGCCGCCGAAAGATTACTCGACGCTGCCTCCAACTGAGCTAGGTACGCCATGTCATGGGAGGTTGGACAGGAATGAGCTGAAGGTCGCCCGTCAAATCCAAGGTCACAGCTTTATGCGTATGGTGGCCACGATGCTCCGCTTGCAGCAAGATGGAAAATCCTTCGGACCATGCAAGCTCGTAAAGAACTTATTGGGCCAGATGCTGTACTGAGCTTGAGGCAGGATGCCTGTGGCCCACACGCCAAAGGCGGGGTTTTCTGGGCTGCAGAGAATATTCGCAACTGTGCAGTGACGCTGTTTCCTGCAGGACTGCAGACTGTTTGCCCTCATTCCTAGCTTCGGGAGTTAGAATTCCCGGACATTGCTTGAGAGTGCCCCGGTCGGACATTCTATCAGCAGCAGCTGGATAAGAGACAGGCAAAGCTGCGATGCGCCCTGCAACGCTAGATGGAACGCGCCGCCAGGATCCGTCAGCACTAAAATGCGGTGCATGACTGAACAGTTGCTCTTTCTTTTTCACTCTTCGGGTTTCTCCGCCCAATGCATGAACGAGACTTGGTGCGAACCAAGCATTTCCTCATACAAAAAAGCAAAACAGTCTCCATAGGGTGTGTGCTTCTTTCTGGCATGAAATCATGGCGAAAGGGGGCGATGGGGGGATTATTCCGAGCTGTGCACGCTAGGACCGGGGTGTTCATGAGAGGATTACCCCACCGGCGCCTAGAGGGTCTAGAGTCACTGCCTGCTACCATGCAGAACCACTCGGGGGTGGTGTCGATCCTGCATCTGAGCCTTGGAACTAATTGAGGGTAATATGGGGACCGAATCCTACTGGGGCCAGAAACCAAAGCCTTCTCCGCTGATCCTTGCTCCCTTACATCCAGGCTAATCATGAGTGGCGAAGATCTCACGTCAGCATCAATTCAAATAGAGCTTATCAACAGGTCCAAGCGCGGTAAGCCTTAATATCGGGGACTTCTGCAATAGGAAGCCAGCATAAGATCAGGGGGCCGATTGATTATCGGCAGCACGTCACATTCGCCGATCATTGGCTGGAGTTTCGCCATTGCTCTTGTCTTCGGAAATACCTATACCTAGCTAGTCTGGGTGTGAGTGGTGCTACTTGACTAGGGCTTTTATCAATGACTGGACACCAATCAATGTGACTGCTTTCGTAGTGACGCCGACCGAGGAGAATCATCATACCTACTGGGTCATCTGTTTTTGCGCCTGATTAATCAGGAAACTGGTCAAAGCTGGGACTAATAGGATCGACATAAGCCACAGCTCGTGCTTGGGAAGTTGTGGCCACCATAGCTTGCGGTCCGCAAGAGCTGTAGATTGCGCAGCATTAAGAAGATGGGGCCACGCCCTCATCGCATTCTCTACTTCCCGTTCGGCGATTGAATCACCCTGCCTTCTTCCCGGTCCATCCTATGGCTTCACCACTGCCGACCGCATCTTCACGAGCCACGTCCAAACTGCGCAAATCCTGTGATTTGTGTGCGGCGACCAAAGTCGGATGCACCAAAGAAAAGCCGAGCTGTGCTCGGTGTGCCAAACGAGATCACCCCTGCGTGTATAGCACTGCAAAGCGTGCAGGTCGTACATCCGGCAAAGGTCACAGCAGAGCACGAAGGGACTCGGCGTTGACGATGACAGCGACCATGACCGCCACAGCGTCACCAAGTCCGACATTCACATCAGCACAGGCAAGCGACATCACCAGTCCATCAACCCCGGGAGGTGGTGGGCTCTCTCCGTCACTCGATCTCCAGAGACAATGCTCGCCGTATCCCGATATCTTCGGAGCCCTGAGATCGCTCGACGAGAACTGCCTCTCATCACTCCCCGCGAGTTCTTTCCCAGATTTAGACGAGCTCTTCGCCTCGGCAGTAGGAATTCCTCTAGAACAGCAAGGTGATGCAGCCACCTTCTTTGACTTCACCCTCGACGACACTCGCACGTGTCCATTCCCTGCCCCGGAGCTCATCACGCACCCTACATCTCCCACATCTGCAGTGCGACCTCACATCGATGCCACGCCGACGATCAGTCGTCCAACCTCGGCCGCCTGCCAATGCTTGGCTCGTGCTCTTGCGCTGCTAGCCGATCTCTCCCCAGGCAATCCGGGGTGCGGCAACGATCCGGGTGCCACCACGTCCCCACTGCCCGATTTCGAGCGGGTTCTCGCCCAAAACGAGCAGACCAGTGAGACCGTCCGGAGAATTCTACAATGCAACTGTACCAACGACAGCTATCTCCTCATCACCCTGTCGCTCGTAGTTTTCCGGGTCATCGCCTGGTACACCGCGGCCACGGGCGCGGCCTCCGGCGAGGACCCACTCGAGCCCGTCCTGCAGGGCCCCCCCTCCTCCACCGACTGCGCATGCGAGGATGAACAGCGCATTGCCGTACAGCGCATCCTCTCCAAGCTCGCAGGCGTCCAGGCATCCGTCGATCTGCTGTCACAGCGGCTGCGCCGCATCTCGGAAACGGCGGGGGAGGAGCCGCAAGACACCTGTGACCCTTCGCTGCACATGACCGGCCCCCTTGCAGGAGGCATCCATGCGTTTTTAAAACCTTTCTCGCCCGGCTTGGTGAACACGCTGGAAGCCGATCTGCGGAAGCGTCTCTGTGACCTGTCAAGGGCTATTGTGGACCGCTTGCGGAGGTGATAATGATCCCGCTGCACAATGCACAGAGAGATCGAGGGTTACTTGGGCCTGGAGGGGCCGAAGAGGGAGGGGCCCAAATCGGGACCCCGATAATGATTCCTTTGTACATGCACAGTGATACATTATGTTTGTAATCCACTTGCAGATGCAGAATAGATGCAGTTGGCTTTTACCACCGAGCTCTACCCCCGAACCCCGAGATCCGAAGCTCGGGGAGTCAATGGAGGTTTAAATATTTTGGCAGGTAAGGTAGTTTACACCACTGGGCCACCCGCCAGCCTACCCAAGTGCATCCGTACACCATGGCAACAGCAACCGTCCCCTTCTTTGACTCAAATGACAGACTCTTCGACCAAGGCAAAGCCTTCTGGAACAACTACCTCAAAGGCCGCCCATCCGCGCCCGACGCCTTCTTCCAGCGCCTCTTCAACTACCACCAATCTCACGGAGGCCAATTCGGCACGGTGCACGATGTAGGCGCAGGCAACGGGCCCTACGCACACATCCTTCGCTCCAAGTTCCAGCATGTCATCATCTCCGACATCGCGAAGGAGAACGTGGTCCTCGCCGAGGATCGTTTGGGGGTGGACGGTTTCAGCTACCGCGCCGCCCGGGTCGAAGAGGGCGACGACATCGCCCCCGGCAGCGTGGACATGGTCTTCGCGACCAACGTCCTGCATTTCTGCGACCAGCCGCTCGCGATGAGCGAGATCGCGCGCCAACTCCGTCCCGGGGGTACCTTTGCCTGCGCGGCCTTTGGCGCAGCGCAGTTCGAGGACCCCCGCATCCAGGACGTCTACACTCGCATCAACCATTCCGGCGGCCGCGCCCTACTGGCCAAGGCCGATGATCCGGAGAAGCTAGTTGCCGTCATGGCCCGCACGCAGGGCAAGTACAATGTCGCCCCGTTGGATGAGGGGTTGTTTCGGCCCCGGGCGCAGCGCATTCACCTCAACATGGAGAACGGCGGCATCACGGCGCCCTTGCCGCCGGAGGTGCAGGTCCACGAGCCTGTCTATACTGGCGTAGACGATGTCGAGACCTTTGTGCAGGAGGATGGGTGGAGCTTTGTGACTGGGCTTGAGGGTGTGAAGGAGCATGTGTTGTCGTTTCCGTTTGCAAGGGACGATCCGAATTTCGGGGAGTTGTGGCAGGAGATGGAGGAGATCATTGGGGACGATGAGGTCAAGGGCACTTGGCCGGCGAAGATTATCTTAGCTACGAGGCGATAGTTGCAGACTGAAACCGTGTTGTTGTGCTGAATTTGATTTTTTGAAGCTTGAACCATACAGCCGTATCTCCAAATCTACGTAATGTGTCTCAAGATGGACCCTACGGTGTCCCCATCCACCTCTGACCAGGTAAATCAGTGAATGAGTAGTTTCATGATACCATTCCCGCTTTTCTCTTGGCTTCTTCCACTGCAACGATCTTCCTGAAGCGTGCTGTCGGGTAATTGCTCATTGGGTATTTCCTCCCCCCCCCCCCCCCCGCCATTCCGACTCCCCCGGGCCCTTTGAGCCGACTTCCCGATTGACCGAATGCCCCGAGTACTGTCCATGGACCATCATGATGACCTTAAGACTTTCTTGCAAATATCCCCATTCTACTTTCCACTCAGACCACCGACCCGTTTGACCAGTGACAGAGCTACCACCATGCCCGCCCCCGCCGCAACCCAAACCGCAACCTTAAACAAGTTCATCGACGGCTGGAAAGGCTGGACGCCGGACGGCTTCCTGGCCAGCTGGTCCGACGACTGCGCGCAAGTGACTCTGCCATTCAGCTCGGGGGTCCCGCCTCGCACCCGGGCCATCACCGAGAAGCTCTTCCCCAAGCTCATGTCCATCCTGACCAACTTTCAGGTACACTAACTCACCCAACTTTTGGCCAATGGCACACGAAAGGCTAAATGACAACGATTCAGCTGACGGTACACAATGTCATCCATGAACCCGCGGAGAGCAAAGCGGTCATCTATGCCATCACGACGGCCGACTCGCCCTTCGGACCGTACAAGAACGAACACGCGTGTTTCGTGTGGTTTGATGAAAGTGGCGAGTCCGTGAACCGGATCGAGGAGATGTTTGATGGGGTGTTTATGAAGGGCTTCTTGCCCAAGTTGGAGGCGTATATTAAGGGGCAGGAGGAGGCTTGAGCACGGGTACATAAATATCTGATAGTCTCTGGATGTGAAATTTTTATGATTGCAGTTATTCTACCCTCAGCCGCACTTATTGAGCTGGGTGTGTAGACCTGATCGTGTCCGCGGTAACTTACATCCTCCGAGGCCAGCCTTGAATTCTGCTTCGTTAACCCTCACCCACCGAAACGAGACCTTCGTGTCTGGTGCATGTAGAGCTAGGCCCCATTTTCACGAAACCACGACCTTGACTCCCGAAGCACGAGTCCACATACTATTTTCTAGGAATGAAATGATTCATTCTAGTATTTGAAAATCAAGCTTCCGAACGCAGGTCTTGCTTTCCCCCAGCAGCGACCGCCACCGGCCCCCCATTCTCCTCCAGGTACTTCCCGAATTTCGGCCCAAAATCTTGCAGAAACGCGGTATCGAGCATTTCCTCGAGTCTAGCCACTTTTCCTCCGTCGTCGGTGAACGTCAGGAAAGCCGCGTACTCGAGGTTCCAGTCTCCCCACGGAAGCTTCCCCGTCGACGCAGCGTATACAACCGCCTTGTTGTTGTCTGGATCATGGATCACGTGGTGGATTTGCAGCTATCGGGGTTAACATTGTTTGACCCCCTGAAATAGCTGACCGCGACTGAATACGTACCTGATATGACTTCACCGTCGCGACGAGAGCAGGCAGAACGATCTCCACTTCCTTACGGGTACGAACGGGCACGCTCAGGCTGTGGGGGAGGGTGACTTGTTGAAAGTCGTCGGAGAAGGTGGAGATCCATTCTTGGGCGTCCCATTTCTCCCAAGCGGAGATGAAACGCTTCAGCGTTGCTGCTTGGGTGGAAGCTGGGGCGGTCATTGATTTGATGTATTCGCAATAGGGATGGTGAGTGTGGTTTTGTAGGGATGTGCAAGTTGTTCGGCTGAGAAGATATATTCTTGAGGCTTGAGATTGACAAACACCATGGAATGTCCTAGTGACAAAATATTGTTGGGGAAGTTGACTCAATGAGAGGCGAAGTTCAACACTGATTGCAATCAGGCGACCACAGAAAAAGAAGGCATAATCGTCGAAATCGATTGACATCCTGTGTAGTCGGAAAATTGAGTCGGGCAATAACGGGGGATTTCAGAGCCCGACAACGCGACGGACGGCATTCGGAAAAGGAGAATAGCCCTGACTGGAAACAAATATCTTTGTTCAAGACGCAGGCTCGATCGATCCACCACTGTGCAAAATATACTTCCAGTGAGATATTCTTTCGTCACGTCGTTGCTCCTACGAAGCCCACAACACTCTGAAATGGGTTCTATCTCGTACATCCCCTACCGCCTCGATGGCAAAGTCGCTCTGGTGACCGGATCCGGCCGCGGCATCGGCGCCGCGATGGCTGTCGAACTGGGCCGATGCGGCGCAAAGGTCATCGTCAACTACAGCAAATCCGCCGGACCCGCCAATCAGGTCGTCGATGAGATCAAATCCCTGGGGTCCGACGCCGTCGCTCTCCAGGCCGACGTCAGCCAGGTGCCCCAAACCGTCCAGCTGTTCGAGGAAGCCGTCAAGGTGTTCGGCGGCATTGACATTGTGTGCTCCAACGCCGGCGTCGTCTCATTCGGACACCTGAGTGAGGTCACCGAAGAAGAGTTCGATCGCGTCTTCAGCGTCAACACCCGGGGGCAGTTCTTCGTCGCCCGCGAAGCGTACAAGCATTTGAACCAGAATGGTCGGGTCATTCTGATGAGCTCGAACACGGCCGACTCGTTCACCGTCCCGAAGCATTCGCTCTACTCTGCGTCCAAGGCCGCCATCAACACTTTTGTGCGTTGCCTGGCCAAAGACTGTGGCGACAAGAAGATCACCGTCAATGCGGTTGCCCCCGGCGGCACCGTCACCGATATGTTCCATGAGACGGCCAAGGACTATCTGCCCAACGCGGATAAGCTATCCAAGGAGCAGATTTTGGATGTGAGTTTTGCTAACCCGCGCGATTTTTCTCGGAGAGACTAACAGCATAGATTGTGGCTCATGTCTCGCCTTTGACCCGGTGCGGGTATCCCGTCGATATCGCCAAAGTAGTGTGCTTCTTGGCCTCGAGCGAGAGCGAATGGGTGAATGGGAAGGTTCTTGGAATCGATGGTGGTGCTGCTTAGACAGTTTGTCTCTAAAGCTCAATAGCCAATAAAGCTTCATATTGCACTGATGTACGAACTTGATGATTGTCACACTGCCTAGGCATGGCTTGTAGCTATCGGTAGGATATACGTCCCAGGCGGGGCTGTGAATTTTGTCAACGCGACTGAGACTCGAATAATTCTTCTGGATCGTGAAACATAGCTCTGAGCCTCGGTGAAAGAATGCAAAAGTCATAGCAACAATGTCAAGTAAGAGCAAACCAAGTCTTGACCCCCTTCCTCACCCGGAATGCCACCTTTCCATCCTCTGCCAACTTCCTCAAAACCTCCTCCATGAACGGTTCTAATGCCATTTTCCGTACTTCTTCATTCACCCGAGTGCCATGAACTACGTCAATCAGCTCACCAACAGTAACACTGGCCAACTGCCCCGTGGGCCTCTCCTTGCGGATCCGACCCAGCGCAGCAAGACACTGCTTCTCCCGACGGGTCTTCTGTGCCAGTTCGGTGGCAATCTTGAGATTGAGGTCGGGAATGACGGCACCGTGGGCGGGATACCCCGTCCTGCATCCTTGAGCCTGCAGCTTCCGGAGAGTGTCCATGTAGAGGCCCAGCTGCTCGACGGCGCTCGTGCCGTGGCCAAGGACATTGTCGCCCGTGAACATGGCGTTTTCCTCCTCAAGGACAAAGCACATGTGGTCGTGAGAATGGCCTGGCCCGTGAACTGCGCGAATGGTCGCGCCTTCGACTTTGAAGATTTGGCCTTCCTCAATGGGATGTTGGCCCTGCTCGGGCGAGTTCTTGTAGATGCCATCCGCCAAGTGGGGATACATCCGAATAAGATCCGGAACGCCGCCGGTATGGTCGCCGTGCCAATGAGTTAAAAACACATGGGACAACGAGATCGATCGGTTCGATAGTGTGACGTCGATCAAATCGGCCCATTCACGGTAGCCCTGTGCGGTGTCGATGATAAGGCGGTGCTGGCCTGTGCCCACGATATAGGTATTTGTTCCTTGCAACGTGAACTAAACCCACCATTAGGTTCGATCATCTCGCGGGGTCGGTGAGGGGGCATACCTTTCCCGCATTCTGGCCAAGGACTCGAAGCACTCGCGGGCTGAGCTGTTCGATATCCAGAAGTTTGGGCAGTCGTGACTGTTGGGTGACGAGATAGTCATCGAACGCGCAGACGTTCAGTGTCTTGTTGATCTGTCGGTAGCCTCCTTCACCCATTTTGATCTTGGGGTGTAATGATCTGGTTTGGAAGCATTATCGACAATTCAGACCGGAAAATCCCAAGATTCATTTGTATAACCCGTCGGGGTGGCTGCGTCTGCGTATTCCGTTGTCCGGATCCCGACTCGGGAGTCGGGCTATTTGTCTCTACTGCCAGTCGATGTGGTGGCAAGAACTTCGAGATACATGGGGTGACTGGACTATTTATCTTGGACATCCATGTCGATGTGACTCCATAATCAATCATTTGATTCACTCTCCTTTGCAATCTCGTGCGCGCTAGACACTCTCCACTCTTCTTTTGCCTGAGAGCTACCCTACACCTCCCTACAGCTACAACTTTGCTGCCGTTTGTACAGGTAGCAAGGGCATGTCGGCTCCCTCGTCGTCGTCCTCAACAGCCTCATTCGACATGGTAACCTATACCCCCCCAGCAGAGGCGCAGGACCTACCCACCAAACTTAAGGTCCTGTACTTCAGCAACGAATTTCCCACAGACGACCTTTCGACCCTTCTGCGCCGGTTACACAGTCACAGCAAGCACAGCAGTCATCCCATCTTGGCTCGGTTCTTGAGCGAAGCCACGAGGGTGCTGCGAAATGAGGTCAGCCAGCTACGCATGGAACTGGGCCAGCTGGTTCCTGCTTTCGAGTCCGTAACAACTTTGGCTGGTGAGACAAAGCTACGCAAGGGACCACTTGCTCAATCTATCGACGGAGTGTTGCTCTGTGTGCTGCAGCTGGGGATGTACATTGGGTACGCCTCTCATCCCCTTTGGTTCTTCCTGTGCTAGACTAATTGATTAGGCACTGCGAGCTCTATCCAGAGGACCAGGCAACGGAGACCAACAGTGTACTGACTGGCTTGGGAGTGGGTATACTAGTCTCAACAGCCGTTTCAGTCTCCACATCCCTGGATGATGCAGTCACGGCTGGTGTGGAAGTCCTGCGCATTGCCTTTCGTCTGGGCGTTTTCGTGGCCAACGTCTCGCATAACCTAGAGGACGTTGATGCGGAGGCTTCCGACTCATGGGCATACGTTGTCCATGGAATGACTGTCGACGAAGCTCAGAAAGAGCTGGACGATATCCAAGCCAAGGAGCGCACCCCATCAGCCAGCAAGATCTTTGTCAGTGCGATCAGCGAAACCTCGGTCACTGTGAGCGGACCACCATCTCGGCTCAAGGCCCTCTTCCGCAATTACGCCTCGTTTCGTGATCGCAAATTTGCGCACCTCCCGGTCTATGGAGGGCTATGCCATGCAGCGCATATCTACGCGCGTGAAGACGCACAAGCAGTCGTCCGAGCTCCTTCGCTACCGGCGCGATATAAGCCCGTCGTGCCCGTCATGTCCACCAGCTCCGGCCAGCCGTTTCTTGCGTCCAGTGCTGCAGAGCTGTTTGAGCAGGTGATTTTCGAAGTTCTAACCAAGCAAATCGTGTGGGACAATGTTATTCGTGGTGTTGCAGAGCGGGTCGCTAAGACCGACGTCCACGATGTCAACATCAAGGTCTTCCGTCACTCCCTTCCAGCCCAGCAGCTTTCGACTGCGTTGACGTCCGCCATGACTGATCTCCCTGTCGATGCCGACGACCTTCTGGCGTGGGTCGGGACCGATGTCGACCACGGGCAATACTCGCCCGGAAGCTCCATGCAGTCGAAGATTGCGATCGTCGGCATGTCCTGTCGCATGCCAGGTGGTGCCACAGATACAGAGAAGTTCTGGGATCTCCTTGAAGCTGGACTGGATGTACACCGGAGAATCCCCGCCGATCGCTTCGACGTTGACTCGCATCACGATCCTACTGGGAAGAGGATGAACACCAGTCACACGGCGTACGGGTGCTTCATCGACGAGCCGGGCCTTTTCGACGCACCGTTCTTCAACATGTCGCCCCGTGAAGCGGAACAGACCGACCCCATGCAGCGCTTGGCCATTGTCACGGCGTATGAAGCCCTGGAGCGAGCCGGGTATGTGGCGAACCGCACGCCGGCAACAAATCTCAACCGCATCGGCACCTGGTACGGTCAGGCCAGTGACGACTATCGGGAGGTCAACACGGGTCAAGAGATCAGCACGTACTTCATTCCCGGTGGATGTCGCGCCTTTGGCCCCGGGCGCATCAATTATTTTTTCAAGTTCGCGGGACCCAGTTTCAACTGCGACACGGCCTGCTCCTCGAGTCTGGCCACCATCCAGGCGGCCTGCACTGCACTCTGGGCAGGCGACGTCGACACTGTCGTCGCAGGAGGTCTGAATGTGCTGACCAACTCGGATGCGTTCGCCGGTCTCTGTAACGGCCACTTCCTCACCAAGACGCCCAACGCCTGCAAGACCTGGGACTGCACGGCTGATGGGTACTGTCGCGCCGATGGTGTCGGCTCGATTGTCATGAAGCGGCTGGACGATGCATTGGCGGACAACGACAACATCCTCGGCGTGATTCCAGCTGCGGCGACCAACCACTCTGCGAATGCGGTTTCGATCACACATCCCCACGCCGGCCACCAGTCCGATCTGTATCGGCAAGTCATGGCGCGGGCCGGCATTGACCCGCTTGACGTCAGCTACGTGGAGTTCCACGGCACGGGAACCCAAGCAGGTGATGCCGAAGAGATGGAGTCCATAACCAACGTGTTTGCCCCTATCAAGGGCAAAAGGCGAACCTCCAAACAGCCGCTTCATATCGGTGCTGTCAAGGCAAATGTGGGCCACGGAGAGGCTGCTGCGGGTGTGACGGCGCTTATTAAGGTCCTGCTTATGCTGCAAAAAGGTGCAATCCCGCCTCATGTCGGCATCAAAACTAGCATCAACCCGGGCTTTCCTAAAGATATGGAGCGGCGCAACTTGCATATTCCCTTCGAGACCACCGCATGGTCTCGGACGTCCGAGAAGAAGCGCATCGCGGTGGTGAACAACTTCAGTGCAGCTGGTGGTAATACTACGCTTGTGCTGGAGGAAGGTCCAGTGCGAGACAGACTTGGATCCGATCCGCGACCCAGCCATGTTTTTACTGTCTCTGCCAAGAGCAAAATCTCCCTCAAGGGCAACCTCCAGCGGCTGATTGCCTACCTTGAGAAAAATGAAGATGTGTCTATGGCCGACCTGGCGTACTCGCTTACAGCCAGACGCTATCACCACAACCATCGTGTGGCTGCTACTGCTACAGACACAAGCAGCCTAAAGCAACAGCTTATTTCCAAGCTGGACGGGGTCGATTCCATGAAGCCAATGCCCACGACTGGAGCACCACCGGTCGCGTTTGTCTTCACCGGGCAAGGCGCCGCCGACAAGTCGATGAACCTGCAGCTGTACCACCACTCCCCATTCTTCCGGTCCCAGCTCGAAAGCCTTGACCGTCTGGGTCAACAGCATGGCTTTCCCTCGTTCCTCCCAGCCGTCGATGGTAGTTACCCCAAAGACCACGCCTGGCCGCCGGTTATCACCCAAGTAGCTCACACCAGCGTGGAGATCGCCTTGGCCAGATACTGGGAGACACTGGGTATCAAACCCGAAGTCGTCGCCGGACATAGTCTGGGCGAGTACGCGGCCTTTGTCATCGCCGGTGTCCTCTCCGCAAGCGACGCCATTTTCCTGGTCGGTTCGCGAGCTCAGATGCTGGAATCCTTGTGTACTGCCGGCACGCACAAGATGATGGCCGTCAAGGCGTCGCGATGCGAGATCGAGGATGCGATCAAGGACCTCCCGTATGACCTCGCATGCGTGAATGGGCCCAAGGAGACTGTTCTTTCGGGGACCACCGAGCAGATGGAAGCCGT